GCCAGTTTATAAGAGGAGGAGGGGGTTCAGCGGAATCATAGAGCCCCCTAGTTATGGGTCTGCTAGGACGTTTTATTGAATGGTAACCAGGTAAACTTACTCTGATTCAGCATCAATCTGTCCCTCAGTCATATGCCCCTCTAGCTTCTCCTTCATCTTCCTCTGTCGCGCCTGCTTCAATTTGCCTTGAAGACTCTCACACCGGAAGTCAGTCTCTTTCATTTCATCCGAGTTGTCATCTGCAACGACAGATGATTCACTGATCTCTTCTATCTCCTCCGGTTTGATAAGTACATCATCAATATCGCTATCAACCTCTTTATCTTCACTTTTTTTATCCGCCTGTTCATGGACAATTTCTTGTTCCTATCATATACAAATATATGAAATAACATAAAAAAAGTTTATCTATTCTTATTCTGTTTATTGCCAAAAAGCGCAGTACAAAATAAACAACCAACTGAGTAAGTTGGCAGGAAACATAAAAGTGAACCTAATCGTGGTAACAAAAAGTCAGTGTTTTCCACTCACCCATTTTGAAATCAATAAAATAAACTTTTAGGGGAGCCTAGGCCTAGAAAATATTATTGAAATATGAAATAAATTTGCATTCCTGAGAAATCTGCAAATATGATTGATTTATAATGTTGAGTGCATCAGAGTATATTTTTAGAAGATGCTCTGTTGTACTCTAAAATAATTTCCTACCTCTGTTTTTTGAGATTTCATGATTCTCTGGGAAAATCTAACCACAATCAATACAGCCAAAAGAGTAACTAGGCTTGCTGTTATGTAGTACATACAATCATCTTCTACTTCTGCGTGCATCTCTGATATTTTAGACATCCAACTGAATCGGAAACGAAAACATACACATTATCTAATTAAAAACGTCTTCGTTTCTTCAGCACAATGAGCTGCCTCAAACTCAATTAAATCAGTGACACTGCGCCGTGACACTTACTGCCCGGTTGATGAGCAAAAGAAGGCCTCTTCGTTGTCTTCAGTGGCCTAGCGATTAATAAAACACGGTTCCTTAGTCTTAGAGAAGCTACTGCTTACATAGAACAAGACATACATACTTTACCTGCTTTGGTGACAGACGTAGCAATTTTGTTATAATTGTTCATATAAAAATAATTAATTTCATCAATTAAAAAGCAAAGCCTATTCCCTCATCCCCTCTGCAATGCTCAATGTTGTCTTCCTTCTTCTCCGCAACATAACAAAACTAACTGCAGAGAGAAAGGGAGATTGGCAAATAATATGATGACGGGCCAAGTATCGTTTCGGGCCGTTAACCAGAAATTACACATAACTTTCATAACAAACAACATGCGCCCCCGCCGTATAGTACACATCGCGAGAGCAAACTAACTGCTTCGGCTGGGCAAACGTTGGAGTTTGTTCTCGCTCTTAAATCAAGCTTAGGCCTAAAGAAGTAAAGGTACGTACCATGAGAATAAGTAATGAATTATAGGATTTTCGTTATTGGGAACTGAAAATATATCATTCTATCTATTATATTAATATTATTTGCATTCGTGTGTTGTACGCTGTTGGTACCGTTGCGAGGTGTGTCGTGGGCCTAGACCTAGTAGTAGCTAGCTAGGCCCTATCCTAGGCCTATTTAGGCCTCTCTAGTAGGGAGACTAGGCCTAGCTAGGCTAGTAGGGGACATAGGCTAGGCCTAGTCTAGTAGTAGTAAAGGGGATTCGTAGTAAGTAGTAGGACGCTAATGCAATTTAGTGCTCCACAACCTTACCATAACTCCAGTGTCGCTATGTTATTGTTAAGGTTGGGGTTAGGGTGGAGTACTAAAGTTCATTAGCGCCAGTAGTAGGCTAGCAAACTAAAAGTACTAGCCTAGCTATCTATGCTTTAGGTTTGGAACCAAAAAAGAAAAAGAAATGAGAGGCGATCATCGTGGGCACAGTTCTCAGTTTGAAAATACATCGTGCCAGACTGAGACTGTAATAAAGTAAGCCTGCGTGAGGAATGTATCCTTCACGCAAAAATTAGGCTTAGAAGTGCATCCGCACATTTTCGAAAAATAAGGGGCGATGTCCACACAGATTTTTTGGATTGTTAGGCATTGACCTATTAATCTTAATATACTATAACTATGTGTTATGTAGTAGTTACGATTCTGTGCACATGAATACAAATTTTTCATGCAAATAAAGGTCGATTTCCACTCAGATTTTGCCGAAGATTAGGCTTTGACCTAATCTTAATATATAACCAATGTATTATACACTAATTAAAATTCTGCGCAGCTATTTTTCTAGTTAATTTCCGCCCAAAAAACTAGTTTTGGGGTATCATCCATGCAACTAAACAAATTTTACAGTATGGATGTGTAATGAATCTCTTCTCCACAGTGGGTCGTCTGTAACTGCCCGCGTTATACAATATGTGACCCACAGCATTGTCCAATCGTAACTTCCGTTACAGATACCAGTAGTTATACTAGAATATTTTACAGAAAACAAATAAAAAAGATTTAAAAAATCATGAGGATTCCATCCGAGTACTCAAAAGGAATGCAGATAGGCAACCCCAATATTTGCGTATTGAGGCGTAATTTTGTGCAAGACGAAAACGAGAAGTTTTAACATCCATTTTATATGCTTTTTTTTTTGCATACTATTGTATTTCCCCTCCCCCTACATACCTGTACGGTAGTGTGGGTCTAGCCTGAGTTTTGTGAAGCCGGTGTCCCTGTGGTGGAGAGATGTATTTGGAATTGCTTCAGGAAGGTAACTGGACTGGGTCAGAAAGGGTCAGATATTGTAAACATCATCAGTTTTGAATAACCAACAATATTTTACTACCATTTTGGTTTATTGTTTTTTTTTTTTTTATACTTTTCATATTTTATATTAAAGAAATGTCTGCTGAGGTGGCTACAGGTAGCAATGCCTCTTCTGAGGGTTATACCATTGTCAAAGAGGGTACTTCTGAAATAATATTTCCAAATTCAAATGAGGTGTTTTACAACCCAGTGCAGGAATTCAACCGGGATATAAGGTAACATATTATTGTTTAATTTTGTTCTTTTTTGTTTGTTATTTTCTTACTTTTTAAGTTTGAAATTTATATACTTTTTGTAGAAGGTTCCTGGGTTTTTTTTGGCAGTCAGTATAAGTACAACATATCTGTTTTTCCTCCAGAGCCTAGCTTTAAATTTCTCGAATGAGTGCTTCTCCAAATAATATAAGCACTTCATTGGACCCTTCAAAATTATATGTAGGGGAAATTTTGTTATTAACAGATAATAAAATTTTGTGTTAATTATGGGATTCTTTATTCTTTATTTAAAAATGATGTCTGGAGTACTAGTCCCCCATGTCAGGGGTACTGACCCCTGTTGAAGGTGCCAATTCCCTGTCGGGAAAAGCTGGTGCACCACTGCAACCCATACAATAGCAATAGTATACAACACCTTGCACACAGCCCTGGAAAAAAGTACGTGACAGGCGGTTGGAGGTATTGACCTTTAACCCAGAGGCATTTTAGAAAAAAAGTATTTCCCTTTTTTCAATTTTTTTTTGCACATCACAATTTAATGCAAATGATAAGTATTATTTTTGCTTGCTCCCAACCACTATATGTACAGTACTACTGTTTCGCTATAATAGTGTAAAGATAGCATTTCGTCCCGGAGGCATTTGATCAAGATAATCTTCAAGGCAGAAACAATTTTTTTCCAGGCCTGCTCGCACATACGGTAGCACTGCTCGCATTAAGCAGGGGGTCCAATCGGGGAGGGGCCCAGTGGTCCCCGATGGGGGATCCTTTCCCACCCTGGACCCCAGACTAGAGCCACCCCTGATTCCATTTGTTTTCATTCACTCATTTCTTACTATTTCAGTTCTGCAGTGATAAGCCTATTTGCGAAACAGGTTCTGAAGAAGAAGGGAATTGAAGGTACATTATTTGTGTGAAATGCTTATATATGGGCATGATGATGTCATCACATCCAAATAAGGATATTATGATGTCATTCCAAGCCCATATATGAGCCCAAGCCCATGTATGCTTAAGCCCATCTTCAAGCAAGAAGTATAGGATAGCAAGAGGTCCGACTGCCCTGATTTTGTATGCACTCAGTGATATGAAAAAAAAGAACTACCACAAGATAGGAGGCGCCCTATTATAATTTGAATAAAGTTCGTAATTTGAGCATAGGCACAGCATGCATTCGATGCAAACGATTTTTAAGTTTTTTGGAAGGGCGCCCTCTAGTTTGTGATAGTACCTTTCGAAAAACCTCGGCTGTCGGACCTTTTGCTATTCTCTTTTCGAAATTAACATCAGGCACTTAATGTGTGTTGCAGACAATAATTCTAAAATTAATAATAATAATAACAATAATAGTGTAGTTTTATATAGCGCACATATCCATAAGATGCTCAGGGCGCTTGATATGTGGACTAGGAACACGATCAAATGACTTTCTTCGCCCCTAAGGGTCCCTTCGTGTCTGTGCTACCTGGTAACCCGGTACCAGCAACTCTTGTTGTCTACCACAAGGGCTGTCTGGTCCAGTACACCGGGGTATCCCCCTACTTGTCTCGAAGGATGTACTGGGTTCTTTATAGTGCACACGAGCCATTGTATACACTGGGCCTACAGTTTATAGTCCTTATCCGAGAAGACAATAGACGAGTGTGCCGTTTAAAGCAGCGCCGATATTATGGCTATAGCTTGTGGTGCCTCTGCTAACTGCTCTTCCATTCGATTAGATATAATGGCCCTTTCCGCTAAGCCCCGCCACTTGGATATATATAATATGACAGCGTATTGTCACCAGTCACTCTCCTGGAATCAGCAGCATTATAAGGTAACCTTTATTCTTGTAATCAAATCTTTTGCAGTTTGTTTGACACGGAAGGAACAGAACAGGAATACAACATCGAATTTGGAGGGAGAGGAACTGAGTCAAGTTTATCCAGGAGAAAAATGTGAGGTAAAGATTAAACTAAATTATTAAAACAAGGGCTCATATGAGGCATGTTGTGGCAAAATGGCTAAGTTGTAGCATTGTAAAAGTTGTAAAATTGAAATTCAAGGTATTGGTATTTTCAGATACCTGAGTATGTGATCTTTAAAATGAGGGGTCATTCATTCAAATTAGACATATCAAGCCTAAGTTATTGGAAAGTGAAAGTAGAGTACTCTTAGAGTCAAGATAAACATGATTTTGAGTAATTGCCTTTCAAAGTTATTTGTGCATACACTGTTTAATAGAACGAACTATGAAAAATAACTTTAAATAAACAATTTGTTAACCACTTCCAGAACTAATACTTTGGGATATGATTAATAAGTCATTAAACTGTTGATCTAAAGTGAAAAACAAATTTGGATTTTTTAGCAATTTTTTGAGCTCCCATGTTTTATAGCTCATTTACTCAATACTGGACTGTGCGACAACTTAACCATTTTGCCACAATGTGCCTCATATATTTAACCAAGTTTAGACTATTTAAAGCTATTCCTATGGGAATCAGGAAAGTGGTTAGTACAATCAAGGATTTTAAAAGCCCTTGGTACAATGGTTTTGCGGTTTATGGGTTTAAAAGCGGTGAGAATAAGAATATACTTTGTGTCCTTATATCTCCGTTCAATCAGGAATATAAATATGATTTTCAATATTGAATTGTATTCTGAAACGTTTTATTCAAAATATGATTATCATGCTTAATCGAGCCCACAAAGACACATGTCAAACCAATGACACTGATTTAAGCCTACATCTGTGCTAATAAGTTTTCAATTCAGAACATGTAAAATCTTTTCTATTGCTAAAATGTGTTTGCCTAACCCTGAGCTGATATTTATTGTTAGCCAAAGGCAGGTTAGGAGGTGATGTTGGGAGACAGATGCCGATATGCCCTCCTACTGTAATACAGGAACATTGGGAACATTGAACAAATGAAAGCAGCCGTGATTACTGCACCGCAGGTTGTGAAAGGCCACACCAAACCATCTGCCCATTGCCATCCTGACCGAACCTCCCAAAAGTGTAACACTAGGGGGAAGTCAGTATCGTCACGAAAGCATTTTTTGTGCATTAATCCAACTCGACGAAGGAGATGCGAGTTATATGTTCTTTAATGTAATATTTAATGAAAACTAATAACTTTAATACAAGAAAGTAAGCAATGCAAATATCTAATTCAATTGTTTTTAAAGAATCATTTATCCTTTTCTTTCCCAATTCTTAGGAGGGCATCACTATTCTTGAAGGCCTTTCTGCTAGTGGTCTTCGATCAATCCGATATGCTAAAGAGATTGCCGGAGTCAAGAGAATCGTCGCCAATGATTTTTCAAGGGCAGCTGTAGAGAGTATCGAAAGGAACATAAAACATAACAAAATTGGAGATATAGTTGAGGCAAGCCTGTCAGATGCAGCGTAAGTATTAGTATCATATTCTCTCATTTATTTTGTCATTCACATATAATAAAACAAAGAAATATGTTAGTGCTTGCGGTACACTGCGTAGACAGTTCTGGAAAGAACTGTTGTTATTTGAGAATGTCTCAACGTTCCGATTGAGTTGCTCAAGTCAATCAAAACATTGATACATTTTCAACCAAAAAAAGTTCTTTTCCAAACTATATACGTGGTGTACCGTAAGCATCAATATATATTATTACTTCGCCAGGCAAACTTTCAAACCATACAAAGAACGTAAACAAATAAAAATATGACAAGTATGCCAACACAGCCTCACTCCTGATCGGAGTGCTCAAAAGTAAACAAGTTAATTGTCAAGGATCTGTGGATATCAGCTGATCAAATTAAAATTATTATTTCAATTGTTTATTGATATATTAAATAAACAATTGTTTATTCTTCAAAAAACTCTACTCTAAATATCCCCCAAAAAACACCTTAAGGCATGATTAATTTTTTTAAGTTGGGCTCGTGTTTGATAGTTACAGACAGCTGTGCACACATTGCACACATCAACTGACTGCTGACGCCAGCCAACGAATCTATATCCGCTCTGTGTAAGCAGTCGACAATGCAGCATCATCTGCTGATTGTCAGCGGTAGTAGCCTGAGTGGATCGTCATTGAAAATGATCTGTCGCTCGTGCCTTGTTGCATTGTAGTCTTCATGTAATCATGTCAACCATTAGCGTAGTGTGTTTGCCCGCCTTTACAAAGACGGATACAGCAAAAACACGCACTATTGTATATCTAGTCTTTATGGCAGACCACTTTTGTGCATATGCTGGGTATTTTACCTTGTGATGTAATACAAAAGAGGTGGGCCGAAAGTGAGATGCAGGTATATGTGGTGCCAGCGGGGGTTAGGGGGGAATCTGCCCTCCCGTCAGACAGGACTGGACCCCCATCGTCTGATGCCACAACTAGGTCATCGGTTGAAATTAACAAAAATAATAATTTGCTTATCCAAATAGCGTTATGTTGATAAACATAAAAACTCTAACAGGGACTTTTTTATTCCGGACCGTCGGACCCCTTGTCAGCAAATTTCTCGAGCCACCACTGGATGCAAGAACAATGAAATACATGCATTTGGACTAATGTATATATTGTATTTATATTAAATTGGAGTTGAATTCAATTTATAAAAAATGGGTGAAAATGCGTTTTTTCTCGCAGGCTGCTTATGTATAGTTGTCGTTCAAAGCCCGAATACGATGTAGTGGATCTTGATCCATACGGCAGTCCAGCTATGTTCCTGGATGCTGGGGTGCAAGCTGTGAAAGATGGTGGTCTCCTGTGCGTGACTTGTACGGATCTTGCAGTGTTGTCTGGTAATCATGGCGAGACATGCTTCTCAAAGTATGGCGCGATGTCTCTGCATGCAAAATTTGGACCGGAGATGGTAAGATTGTATTAATTGTTTATCACTTGATTCTGTGATTTTAACTATGAATAATTGCAGGGCAGTAGTTAATATTACATTGAATAGAGGCAATTTTAAATATAACTTTCAGAAGAAATTGACATAACACGCGTAATATTGAGCTTAGTCGAGTTTGACGTAGTGACACAAAAATCCGAAAGCAGCTTACTTAAGATTCAAGATATCATTTATTGTCATATACAACATAGTACATGAAATTTGTATTCCAGAGGTAAGAATACACAAAATATACATACAGATTTTAAAAATAACAAGACAACTATAAATATAAAACTATAAATACAGTGCAAAAAATATGTAAATAACAGTTAAATTAATAATATACAATATCTGTCTCTTATACACATCTAGATGTGTATAAGAGACAGGGCCTAAATATTTTTGACGGTATAAAAGAGATGAGACTAAACATAGCATTATTAGCTAAACATAGCATTCCTTTTGCAGGTAATCTCGATATTAATTACAGTACACTCGATACTTTAAAAAAACGATATAATATATTGATATTATAGGCTTTGCGTATTGTGTTACAAGCCATTGAAACCAGTGCTAATCGTTATCACCGTCATATTGTCCCACTGCTTAGCGTACAAGTAGACTTCTACTTACGAGTATTCTTGCGTGTATATACTAGTCAAGCCACCGCCAAACGCTCAGCAAGGTGAGTGACATGTTGTAGTTTTATGACTCTAAACAAAGGAATATAGTTTTAAGAAGGATACAGATAATAATTATTAGTATTATTGTTGCTAGTTATTAATAATATGATGTTCAATGTATGTAAAGGAGGGAACAACAGTATTAGTAATAACTCACCAATGTGTCATTATTTATATTTTTTACAAACAGTAAGAGAGCACTTGTGTACCACTGCACTGGATGTGACAGTTTTCATCTGCAAGGCCTTGGAAAGGCTATATCAAGAGAAAAAAAGTGAGTAGTTAAAACATGAAAAAGGCCTGTTTTTTTGTTTTCTAACATCAACAAAGAAGGCAGTGATAAAATACATATTTTTTTGTTCATTAATTTATATAATTATTTTACAGGGAACCTCGCTTTACCCCAGCCACAGGGCCACCATGTGGTCAAACATGCGCAGATTGCGGTAGCAACTTTCAGGTATGGTAATGTTGAATAATGAGCCATAATATTAAGATAATAAGTATTATATACCACATACATCGATTCCAGGCTTCTGGATCTGATTGGTTAAACAGCGGTTATAACTTCAACCATCACTCCTATGCTGTAGGTTGAATGATAGTTCATAAATTCCTGGGGAAAAAAGTACTATCACGTTCAATGATAGTACTTTTTTTGCTATCGCAATATAATCTCTAGGCCAAACTTAAAACGTTGCTGTGTAATTTATGATACGCACATTGGTAAAGGGGATTGCGACCTTTATGACGAGAAAGACTGGCCCTTTGACTGCCTAGGCCTAGAAAGTAGTCTTTGGACTTAGCCTAGGCTTACTTGAGGGGTACTCTTTTCACTTTTTTTTAGGTCTCATAGAATCTATGTATCTGTGTATGAGGTAATAAAAAAAATATTTACTTTTGTAGATTCGGGGAATGGTGAAATCATAATAACCCTTTGATGATGTGAATACCGTAGCTCACTATCTTCCTTCCGGCTGAAGGTAATAGGCTACGGTCTCCATATCACCTTTGGGGCAATAGAATTCACCATTCCCCTCATGAGCAGTCAATATTTGTATAATATAACTATAATATCTACACACATCTACTTTGGTAAATTTCGTATATCAGCAGACAGTTGAAGGTATCAAAGCCAATAGGGCATCAAAACCACAAGATATTTGGCAAAGAAATTGTAGCATATTATAGTTTTCTACTCTTTAGCAAATTAGGTTTAATCAGTCTAGTTGGAAGGGCAAACCCACTATCAAGAAATGGCAAAAATGTACATATTATAATCTACTGTTATTTAAAATCCATTTAATATTTTTTCTCCTGTAGGTTGGTGGTCCTATGTGGAGGGATCCCATTCATGATGTGGACTTCGTCCAGGAACTACTAGGCACCTTGGAGATGGTGCCAACTGAGAAGTACAAGAGATTTAAAAAGATGAAAGGAACATTGACTGTAATTACAGAGGTAAAAAATCAACAAATATCTTCAAAATTTTTCACATAGATGGATTTATTTATTCAGGGCAAACACCAAGGATAACCCACTGAAGTCTGAAGAAGACTTATTTCCAGTGAGACCCTGGTGGTGATTGGGCAGTAGGCCTACACCGGGAGACATTCCCCTACTCTTTTCCAAATAGTGTACTGCGTACATGTACACATGGACCATAATGCACACCGAACCAATGGCTGAAACGTCTCATCTGAAAGACGATGCGCTATCGTAACTTGCATTTCAGCCCCCTGGTTGAAACACATGAAGAGCAGCGATCTGAATTGAACTGTTCTTCATGGTTCAGCGCACACACCGTAGCTAATACCAGTTTAATCGACTGAGCTAAGCTGCCCTCTTACATCCAACTGCAAGTACACTCACCAATTACAGGACAGAACGATGCGACACTTTATAAACCAATACCCGCTTCTCACAAGGCAAAGCTTTACTTAGGATGTGCTGCGGAAAATTTAGCATTTATCACCTCCAAGATTGCTTCCATTTGAAGGCATGTCTGTGAAAGAGCATCACGCATCTTGTGTAATATTTTCACCAAAGCTATAAAATGTTCAATGTATTTGGTCCATGCTAAATCAAGAATATTCCATAGGGAGTATAGGATGTTACATGTTGTGTTCGTTAATATTTCCCGTGTCTCAAGTAATCATATGCGTCACAAAACATTCCATAATGTATTTTTAAAAATAATTGTTTTCCAGGAACTACAAGACTGCCCTCTATATTACACACTGAGTCGGTTATGCAACATCATTCACTGCACATGTCCATCAAATGTGAAGTTTCGCTCAGCTCTCTTAAGTGCTGGTCACCGTGTGTCAATAACTCATACATCTGCCGAAGCTATAAAAACCGATGCTCCAAGTTCCGTCATCTGGGATATTATGAGGTCATGGGTGAGTAGACAAATTGACCTTTGACCTTGTATGATTTTGAGAATACTGATGTTATTGCTCATTCAATTTTAGGGTTTTAAGTTTTTTTTATGGGACAGACAGTTACTTTGTATTGAGAGAGTATTTTCTGACAGTAGGCTTATACTCCTTTTGTGATTACAAGTTGGTGCAGCCATTCAATTGTAGATGGCCAATGGCATCATCTTCTGGATGTGAATATAACATGACTACTGTACATTTGCAAATTAATGTCTATAATAGATATGCATCTTTTTTATTTCAGGAAAAACTGAATCCAGTAAAACGTACTAGGTTGTCAGAGGATAGTGTTGCATACAAATTACTGCAGAAAGAACCAGTGTAAGTTTAGGGAGATAATAACACAGTAGTAAAAACATACAAACATTCTGAATTTGAGATGAGTTTGCAGAAGATATCAATAATTCAATCAATTGATTTATAAAGGCGCATTCTACAGTTGTCTCAATATTTTTTTATTTAATAATTAAATAGCAGATAGAAGTGATTTGTTATATATATAGGTTTGTAGCTGTAGAAAACTAAGGGTGGGTGGTAACCCCATTTTTTGGTAATGTTAAGCTCTGTCTTTATAAAAACAGTGGATTTTAATGATAATGCATTGGGCTTCATAAGGGGTAGTGGAGGGCCATGAAACTAACTTTAAGCTAAATTTACACTAGACATGATAACACGACGACAACATATCATCGCGTAGTGTGTATTCTTCAACACTGCACGCATCTGTATCCTGTCGTATCGTAATCGTGTCTAGTGGAAATGTAGCTTTAGGCTGGGTGGAAAACTTCAAGACTCAGTGGCCCTGCCCACCAAAACTACATCCCTGCATATATTTCATGTGGTCAAACCTAACAGCAAAGCTGACATAGAAACAAGGAATATAATATGAAAAATATAAATATTTATTTTATGTAAACATTTGTACACATACAATAATATCAAAATGAACAATAAAAGTGAAAACTATTTTTAGTACCAGATCATCATGTACGGTATGTGACATGCCTTAATATGGTCGTGATGACATCACATCATGACCATATATAGGCACATCATGACTATATATGGGCATACAACAGTTTTTTGTCAAAGACAATTTGATATTGTGGACATAGCTTTAAATATACTTTACTTTAATGAAACAAGTCTATTCATGATTTAATTAACACTTTTTCAATATCCTCTGTTACAGTATTGCAGCATCGTTTGAGCCTAGACAAGATGCAAACCCTAGATCACGTCAACAAAAGATGAGCCGCTTCCCACTCAATCCGGAACCAAATTGGGGACCAAAATCAAGAGCAAAGAAACGGTAAGCAATTTTCGTAATACTCAGTTCAGACCATACTTGAAGACTAGATTATTAGTAATGGTATATTGTGTGGGATGCCACAAAAATCAGTAAGCTGCAGTTACTTGGCTACATGTTTGGTTTCAAGTGCTTCTAAATAATGATCATATCACCCCCACATTGCAACGGCTTCACTGGTTACCTGTTAAGTAGAGAATTATTTTCAAGATGCTGCTATTTAAATTTAAGAAACTTTCAACTTCGCACTCTTTCAAAATTCAAAAATTCAATTCAAAATTCAATTTAAATTCAAAAACTTTTATTGTCAAATTAAATAAAAGCACACAATTGGAAATTTGTCATTCGATATACTACGTAAAAATATCACTTCTATCATAAAAAGTCAAAGACACAAAAAGTAAAAAACGTTCATTTAAAATACATTGAGTAAAAATAAATTATATATATCACCCGAGTTATAAGTTTTAACTGAAAACATCATCAAAAGGAAACACAAATAAAATAAAACAATTTCGGACACATGTTTACGCAGTTTGAGATCAACTACCTCTGCATCCACTCTTACTGTTCCCTCTAGTTGCACGAATGCATGCGGTGATAGAGCTTATTCAATTAACATCTCGACGAGATTTGATTGACAGATAAACCGACTAATCAGCGAGCGTCATTTAGTCACGTGATCAATAACTTTATCTCTGACATTTTAATTTCCTTAGACAGCTGGTTGTCAAGGCAAAACATACGTGAGCCTAGGCCTAGATGTCTATGCTTGGTTATAGATACCCAGATTTACACGAACAGTGTGCATCAGTGACTTGGCCTTTGCCGACAACGAGGTTGACTGAATGCGGCCTTTCCCTCTTCCTTTGGGAGCGAAATACAGAGGCTTTTACAACAATTTCCCCGCCTGTTCTATGAAATAGATTAACACTATGAATATATGATTCATTTGCATACTGCCTACCCTGAATTCTCTTTCTTAAAGAAGGTTGATAGCAACGAAAATGTTCGCCAACTCGGTATTGTCTAGCCGCCATTGTCTAAGGTTTTCGTGACTTTGTGGGTGTGGCTTCGCGTCCTTGTCGATATGTCAATTGCTGCTATATTTTATTTGATCTTTATATAATTTATATAGGATAGTAAAATGAGCCACGTAGTAATTAGATGTAAAGTGCCATACACAATCAATAGATAGTCCCATTAGAATTTAATATTTTATTTGATCTTTAAATAATTTATATACATAATTTTTATACTCATCATTAGTTTGTCTACCCACTTGATTAAAGGTCGTCATACATGACCAAATGTGGTACTCTCACTTCAAATTATTGTTAACTATCTTTTAGGAAGCAAAAGGATGAGCCTAGACAGGAAAGTCAGTCAGATAATACTGATGAAGAACAAGATAAAAAACGCATAAAGCAAGATGAAATTATTGAAAGCCCAAAGGAAGCGAAAGCTGAAGAAGACATAAATGGAGGAACGTGATGCAAGCAGGCTCAATGGAAGGGGAAGCTAAAAAAAAAAAAAATATATGAACTGGGGAACATAATGTAAACATACCCAGTGGAAGGAGATGGACAAACAATATAAAAAGGGGGGAACATGATGCAAGGAAGCCCAAAGAAAGGGGGAGCTGAAGAAAACCTGAAGGGGGGAAAGGATGCAAACAAGTTTTATGAATGCAGATTCAACTGATACCAATTTTACCTCAGCATGTTTTTAAAACGCCTCAGGAATTAGTGGTTTTCTGTTACTTAATCCTTAAACAGCAAAGCAATAAACAATATAACACATAATCAATGTAAAAGCTTATGTGCGCTTCACATTTATAATATTAACTTAAATTATTGAAAAGAGTCAGTTAACCTATTGCTTCACTAAAAGGCAATCCATTTTTACAAACCAGAATAGGCCTAATAAAAAATGTTGAGTTTTAACTTAAATTTTAATAAGTCCGAATTTTTATCTCACTGGGCAATCAAAGCTAGATTAAAATAAATAGGGCCTACGTGAGTAATTTATGTCCTTCCCGCAAATGCGATCTTTTGGAGTAAGAAAGTTAAGTGCAGGCTATGCTTTGCAGTACAAAAGTTAAAATGCAGGCTTATTTTTGCCACATTTGGAAAACAATAGTGGAGTGAAATTTAATAGAGCATTTTAGAAGGTCATACAAGTTACAAGAGCATGTCTAAAATGACTTTATTAAACAAGTACAGGCCCATATCCGTGGGGTGGGGGGGGTTTATGGTTCATGAGACCCCCCTTTTCTAGCAAATCTTTTTTTCCCCTCCCCTCTTTTCTGGGGACCCCCCTCTTCAAATTTCCCAAATAAGTCCTCCAACCCAACTAGTGCACTGCAAACCCACCCAGACAAAGACCTTTTCAAACATAATACTCCTCTTCATAATTTCACCATTTCAACTGCTTTTAACGCTGGGATCGTACTTGTTCCCCAGCACCACGGCAGGTTAAAACTTGTGATGGATGATTGTTTAGGCAATAGGCTAGCTTGTTCAGTAAATGAAAAATAAAACTTACCGTCAGAATTTATTACAAGAAATGGTCTTACAACATTATGTGTTTATATAACTACAGTACTAACCTTTTAAATGTTTATTAAAGCAGGAGTAAACAAAACAAACTTCTTAAACTGCACAACAACATAATACTGTATAGGAATACTTTTAGTTCATGGTTTTTGCCAAAATTGGCCAATTTTTAACATGGTCGTTTTTCCCAGATTCGGCCACATGGGCCTAATTGAGTATCATCCGATTTATCGTTGTTTAATCTTAAAACTATAGGCTTTAAGTGGCATTTATCAACCTGCAGAGACCCACATGATCTGTAGGTGTCATGGAATACGAAACATCTGAAAAATGGAGGGGTCAGAAAAATCGTCCAAAAAAAAGTATGGGCTATAGCTCATGGTTTTTTCCAAAATTGGTCAATTTTTAACATGGTCGTTTTTCCCAGATTCGGCCACAAGGGCCTAATTGAGTATCATCCGATTTATCGTTGTTTAATCTTAAAACTATAGGCTTTAAGTGGCATTTATCAACCTGCAGAGGACCCTCGTGATCTGTAGGTGTCATGGAATACGAAACATCTGAAAAATGGAGGGGTCAGAAAAATCATCCAAAAAAAGTATGTGCTATAGCTCATGGTTTTTGCCAAAATTGGCCAATTTTTAACATGGTCGTTTTTCCCAGGTTCGGCCACATGGGCCTAATTGAGTATCATCCGATTTATCGTTGTTTAATCTTAAAACAATAGGCTTTAAGTGGCATTTATCAACCTGCAGAAGACCCTCGTGATCTGTAGGTGTCATGGAATACGAAACATCTGAAAAATGGAGGGGTTCAGAAAAATCGTCCAAAAAAAAGTATGGGCTTTTGCCAAAATTGGCCAATTTTTAACATGGTCGTTTTTCACAGATTCGGCCACATGGGCCTAATTGAGTATCATCCGATTTATCGTTGTTTAATCTTAAAACTATAGGCTTTAAGTGGCATTTATCAACCTGCAGAGGACCCTCGTGATCTGTAGGTGTCATGGAATACGAAACATCTGAAAAATGGAGGGGTCAGAAAAATCGTCCAAAAAAAAGTATGGGCTATAGCTCATGGATTTTGCCAAAATTGGCCAATTTTTAACATGGTCGTTTTTCCCAGATTCTGCCACATGGGCCTAATTGAGTATCATCCGATTTATCGTTGTTTAATCTTAAAACTATAGGCTTTAAGTGGCATTTATCAACCTGCAGAGGACCCTCGTGATCTGTAGGTGTCATGGAATACGAAACATCTGAAAAATGGAGGGGTCAGAAAAATCGTCCAAAAAAAGTATGGGCTACAGCCACGTACAGTGTCTACAGTACAGCAGCATTCAATATTCGCAGACAAATATTGTAGAGGGCGGCAAACCGATATGTGCTAATATCAGCAAATCCGTTCAATTAAAATAGAGGGCGGTAGACTGATATTTACCGATATCAGGGCTTAAATTTTTTGTCCTGCAAAGATTTTGAAATTATATTTATATTATTATTTCCATGGAAGGCAGCTAGAAATAGTCAGAAATCAGAATCATTGTGTCTATAAATTAATTAACCAATCAATCTATCAATTAATCAAACATTAGTATGTGAAAAGTATTGCTAGAAGATAATGATGATACTTTGTAATGAACTAAAAATCACACCAACAAAAATAAGAAGAAATATTTTTATCTTACATATGAACACATGCTCAAACTCATTATACCTTCCTTTGCCTTCTCAGGTTTTCTCCTCTCTTACTTCTCTTTCCAATATGAACAAGTCCTCTCTGTCAGGTCAACCTCAATTTGATTCCCTATGTATTGGTTGGGGACCGATACTCCAGGGTTGTTATAATACCCAATAAAGTTTCAGAGAGTAAAGTACATAACTACATGATGGAAGAGGCTTCTGGGAAAACTTGATTTAGCATCACACATCAATAGCACTATGCACGAAGACTGTCCAAATCACACCGGAAATCAGCGAAGTCACAAAAAAGTCAACCTACATTAACTTTTTATTGGGTTGAAATAACTCAACATAAGCAATAAAAACTGCATGTCTATTATGACCCTCCATCTAAACATTATCATAGAAAACTTGATAATACTATATCAACAGACCCTACAGTACACAGACATACATTACAGTAACATATATGCATGCAAAAATATAGATTTGTTAATAAAATTTCATTTATTTACTATTGCAAAGCTTGGTTTCCATGCAATCGCTACACTGTCGCTACAGTTTTTTTTAAAACTGCAATCGTTGCGCTGCATAGCTGTCCCCAACGCAATCTAATCGGGAACTCTTCCTGGTTCCACTGACCAATTAGTGTCGCCAAAGGTGTCGGCAATAGCTTGTAGGGATTGTCATGGAAACCAGACTTTACATTGTCCCCAGACAACTCAAGACTTGTCAGATTAATGATAAATTATTGTGAAAACCAAGGAAAGTTTGACCTATAAATTTTCATCCGTTTGAAGTTCCTCAGCTTGTTACGCTCTACCTGAAATTTAAACAACCCAGATATTTTGCACTCGAGAAATTATTAGGTTCTACGGAAATTTGTATTTACTGTACTACGGATATTTGATAATGTGGCTACTGAAAAGCAATTTTCTAACTTGAGTAATCTGCTATTACGTGATAGGTATCTTAGAGTTTTTGTATTTTGAATTTTAAAATCATTTTTATCTTTTGTGAAAGCCAAAGAAAGAGAGACAAATCTTCTGGACAAGGCTAGTTCTTTATCATTGACAAGTTTGCGACTTAAATAAATATTGGTCAAAAAATTGTTTTATTTGTTATATACTGTCACTGGATAGGCGTGCAAGTCCGTAACATGTATTTTTGACATATATGTCTGTCTGATTGCTTAGCTCGTCTGTTGCCCTTCATTAGATGCTTACCACCTGATGGAGGGCAATGCCCAAAAACATTTGTTTTTTTTTTTACTTTTACTGTATACACAGTATCTATATATGTATGTATGTTTGTAATAAATGATAATAGCATAACTGTGCACAGCTATTTAATACAAGTGGCTGAGCAAGCAGTAAGGTAAGGGCGCTAATAACTACCTTAAAATTGGCAGTGGTTCGAGCCGCTCCTCGCCCAGTGTTAATTTGGTAGAACTAATTCTTCTCGGAAAAAGACTCAAAACAGGGATTTCAGTAACAACACATCTGGCTCGGTTGAACCTAGTGCATCTTTCAGAAGATTAGGAGAGTTACAGTATCCTGATGCTACAGTTAATTCCTAAAGTTGGCATTCTTTGCAGTGTTTTTGATTTACGCGACAATGGTAGAACTGGCATATACAAAGTGGTGTTTTTGTTTGTATTATTTTTTTTTAAATATGCGATTGTTTTTCTAATTGTGATGGGTGGGTAAAGCCAACCCATCGCTAGTGTATGTCCTGAAGCACTGTCTGAGTACGTTCAAGCCATGTTTTCAGATAGACCATGCCTATTGCCACAAACACAACATTTCCCTTGGGGGGGGGTAGCCTGGGTTCCAGGGGCCGGATTTATCAAACTAGAAATCAGCTTATATTCATCTGAAGTCTATTTTTTTGCTTAAGTCAAATTTATCAATATTGCTTTAACTTAAAAATTGCTTAAAATTAAAAAGTCGATTGTATGTATGAAGCATCTTAGACAATAATTCAGCTCAAGATATTTGCCAAGCTGAGATTGATAAATCCCGGGCCTGGCCCTACTTTTGGGTTACTTGCTCTATATTGTGCACCATACATAATATACTGTAATTGGCATCCTATACTCGATTTCTTTCTCTAAATTTATTTTCTTGTTGGTAGTGTTATCCAGAATGTGGGGAGAGGTAAAGCCTCTACAGGTTTCCAGGCATCAAGCAGTGACATACTGTATTTCCAAAAATTTGCCCACCTCAGCAACAATGGTGGGGTTGAGTTAGGTATAGACTCGCTCTAATTTCACATGAACTTTTAAATGTTATGGCTGCCTTTTGAGGGGAGAGGTAGTTGCTCCACTGGTTACCAGCTGCTACTTGCAGCCATTCAGAGGCGCCCCCCCCCCCCAACCACCCGCTCTTATTTCAATGGCCAGACCACTTGCAAAATGCTTCCGACAGCTATGTCTATCACTTCCACATGAAAAAAATATTTGGCTTCAAAATAAAACACAAAATCCAATATTAAATTTTCTCGATACTGTGGTATATTTATTTTGACTTTAATTAACCATTTTCACACATGTTCTTTTCAAATCCTGGCTTTGACGTGGTTGCTTATGCACCCTTAAGAACTCTGGCCTTCCATTTAGCTAGAGGTCCGTGATCTGGAAAGTATTGTACACTGACACCATCTGGTATAAGGTGACCACTTGCTCTCATTTTTTCGTAATCAGGGCGGTCCCATTTGGTGAAACCCCATCTTTTGGAAATGTAGATCTGTGGGGAAAGATATTTTCAATAGTTACTATTCAATTCATGATACAAGGATTTAATATTGTAGGAAAAATATCCCAGGATTAAATTTGCAACATACCAACATAGCTCCTTATTTCAGTATTGAAATTTGACCAGTAGAATGTACAACTAATTAACTAACCTATCAGAACATGTCTCACAAACACTTAAACAATTTTTGGAGGCTTCAGCGCGGTACTTATTCGAGAGTGGCAATTATTTAAAAAATATTGGTGTGGTGCTTTCCATGCCCGTTCTCATGTTGCCTATCTCAAGTATTCCGGTAGGCCTATCATATTTTCTGCGGTAGGCCTATCATATTATCATTCAAACCCTGTATCTTGAAGTGCTTAATTATACACAGGGTAATACCGTAAAACCCCGAATTGAAGCCCTAGGCTGCTTTCTTCTTTTTTTTTTTTGTGCAAACTTTGAATGGGCTTCTTTTCGAGACAATTTTTGCAAAGTAAAGAGAGGGGTGGGGGCTTCTTTTCAAAATGAATGCTGTAAATTTTGTGAATTTGTACTATAAAACAAATAAGGCCACAACATCAATCTGTATCATGGAGCGTATTTAACTGGCGTTAAATCACCCGAACTACTACTAATTTATTTTGTTTTCTGGAATTCATGTACAGTGTATGTACTGTACTGTCTCGAAAAAAAGTCTATGCTATCTTGAAAAGCTTCTTTTCGACGATAATTTTGCAAACTAAAGAGGGGGCTTTAATTTGAGATGGGCTTCATCTTGAGATTAAACCAAATAGGCTTCAATTCGAGGTTTTACAGTATGCACTCTCAGTTAAGCTCTGTAGCACTTAGCGAAAAAAAATTCTTTGGCGCGGCGCTTTTTCTAGAGCGGTGTTTATTCGAGGATTTATGGTGTCAACACTGTCATATGTCCCACACCTCGGCAGAAATATAAAAGGGAGAGGACTTAGCAGAATGCTCTAAGGATAGTTGCTTGAAGGACCAATGGTACTTTAAAATACCATTGACCAAAAGAACGCAAAGGGGAAAAATACCTTCTGGCGTCCAGGGAACTTGAACTTGGCTCTCCTGAAGGCTTCTAGGGCATGTGCTCGAATACCTTCCTTGATCCTGATGGACATGATCGTCTGACCAATTCGGACCCGTGCAACAGTTCCTTGAGGCTTGCCAAAGGCACCTCTCATTCCAGTTTGGAGCCTGTCAGAAAAAAGAAGTTGTGTCAATCAAACTACAACATTATTGTAGGTTTTCAATCTGATTATTGTGTATGTTTAGAATATCATTTAGAATATAAAAGAAGGTATTTTGAATGGATCTTGTTTTGTATGATGGTAGAAGCACTCAATGACATATTGTTGCATAAAAGTCAGCATTGAATATTATAATGGCGTTTGACAGTGACATATCTAGGAGTCAGATCTTGAAATGGGGAGTGAAGTGCGGCTCAATGATTTAGTTGGGGGAACTAATTCGCAAAACAAGGTGATATGAGGTGATTTTTATCTACTTAAGCATGATTTTTTTTACTTTGAACATTTTAAATGGGGAACGGGAGCATGCATACACCTTCACCCCTACGTATGCTACTGGTGTTTTGCCGTACCTATCAGCTCCAGCACACGACAACATTTTGTTGATGCGAACGATGTGGAATGGGTGGAGACGTATCCTGATGTGGAAGGAGTCTTTTCCGCAGTGTTTCACCATGTACTTGTTGGCACAGATGCGACCAGCTTCAAGGGCCTCAGAGGACAGCTGCTCAAACTCATCTGACACCATGTGGATGCACAGTGGGAATTCATCAACCAGTGCCTTCTTGCGACCCAAATCAAAAATACGAATTTTGGGATCTGAAATTACAGTATAGATTTTACAAATTAAAAAATACCGTAAATATTGAATTTTTTTATTTTCTGTCACAAAATATTATTAAAATTAACCTTTAAAAAATGCACTAAATCTATATCAGATTTTACAAAAATTAACTGAAAATATAATCATATTTTCACTTACCTGGGACACCCCTGCAGAAACGCGACTTGGGGTATGGCTTGTTTTTACAGTACCGATAGCTGAAACAATAGTGAAATGACAATCAAGACTAGCTGACAGTGGCGTATTATTATAGAAAAAATATTTCTGTTTTAATGACATTGTTTGGTGATATTCAGGTACAAAAACTAGGCCTATTACATTTTGATTGCACTGTGTCAACTTCACTGAAATTGAGCTTGCATAGTGTACACAGCAACTACAGTCACATATAGCGTAGGGAGCCGAAAAGCGAGGCTAGGCCACTTGGCCTCTCATCCCCAGCCAGGCCCACCGCCGGTCCTCCTCCTTCCTAGGCCAGTCTAACTCTAAGCCTAGCCCTAGCTTAGGCCTAGGTTGCCGCCTAGCCAAGGCCAATAATTAATAGGGCCTATGTTATTGTTATCATCAATGATCAATTACTCACTCCTCTCAATCAATACCATTAAATCATGCCAATAGTTCATATCTTACATATAATACAAGTTAAACTGTTTGATACATTCACTAAATACTCCATATTTTATAAGTTATACATTGGGTACAGATAGCAATCAAAGAATCCAGTACTGTTAGTACTTACCAACGGGCTGGTCGTCGACCCATTTTGCCTGACAAAGAAAATATTAAAATACGGTTTTAAGTCTCACTTTTTCAATAAATATATATATAATTTGGTGGAAAAATTAGTATTTTATTTGTATATATAACATTCATACTCTAAAACTGTCAATAAAATGTGGATTGAGTAAGATTTCTACCACTATATATGTACACCCTACCTTTTTATTGAAGGGCAATGTTGGGAAAGAGAACGATTATCGAGCAATAGCGCCCTTTATTGGTCATGTAGTCGCTTAGACTTTTCAAGCTTCAGAAAAACTGTTTAGTCATGGAGTATGGTTTAGAATAGTCATATTCTTTTTTTAGAGCATAGAAATCTTACACCGAAGATTCTGGTAACCACACTTTACATTTTGGTCGTTTCTAAAAGTACAGTACACAAAATGCGTTTACACTGTGAGCTAATCCTACAAAATATAGCACGTTCTTGGTATGTACAATATGAATATTGCTGGAAATAAAGACTAGGCCTACTGAAATATTGACCTTTGACTTATCATGAGACCTAGTTTTGTTTTTATTTACTTACCGTACAGTATTTCTTCTTGAATCGTAACTTGAAATGCATACTTAAAAGCGACCATAAAAAAAGGACTAGTTAATTGTCCAAAAGTCATGACATCCTGTTGTTATTGCTGGAGACTGACCTGAAGTTATCTATCTATAAACGTGACTAACGTAAGGTAAAATGTGAGGCGTGTCAATTTATATTTAGGTTGGGCTAGGCCTAGGCCTAGGCCTAGACCTACCTACCATATCATCAACCTACCTCCCACTAAATAGCTAGGCTAGCAAGCCTAGTTAGTTGGGAAGGACTATGCTAGGTCTAGGATTGTTTGGCTGACCCTCTACCTCAGAGAATTTTTTAGCTAGCTAAAAAGTTGAAACAATGTATGAAATGCTCAATAGTCTGCATAAAATACAATGATACATTCACATTGTTGTTTTGTTGTTTTTCTATCTACACAAAAGTCAGGTCGTTTTGCACCTGCCTGACTGGTGGTGTGGAGTGCTAAATTCTGTCTTCATTGTTCATAAGGAGGCAAACAAAGAAAACGTTAGGCCTAGAACACAGGTAGCCTAGGGGTACAAAACACATTTTCTTGGTACACTTACAAAGTTGTAACACATTTAGGCTAGGCCTATACCATACCATACTGTAAAGTTTTTTGATACACCTTTTTCATGCTGCAGTAGACATCTTTGGTCGATGGCAACCAATAAAAATAACAGCGTTTCGGTTATATTTTTGGAGGTCAAGTGGAAAATGGAAGACCAGTTTTGTGTAGTGTTATTAACACATACATTGCCATTATTTCATTATGTTTGACTGAATGTCATATACCGTGCTGGCCATTTTTTTGGAGGTCATGTTACTTAAAATCTATCGCAGTGTGAAAAAGGCATATTGCATGGATGATGAAAACTCAAAACCTAGCTCAAATGTGAGCGGAAAATCCTTAGAAAAATAGGTGCGCGGAATCATAATACTACTGCATAATACCTGTCTCTTATACACATCTAGATGTGTATAAGAGACAGATTTTGAATGGATCTTGTTTTGTATGATGGTAGAAGCACTCAATGACATATTGTTGCATAAAAGTCAGCATTGAATATTATAATGGCGTTTGACAGTGACATATCTAGGAGTCAGATCTTGAAATGGGGAGTGAAGTGCGGCTCAATGATTTAGTTGGGGGAACTAATTCGCAAAACAAGGTGATATGAGGTGATTTTTATCTACTTAAGCATGATTTTTTTTACTTTGAACATTTTAAATGGGGAACGGGAGCATGCATACACCTTCACCCCTACGTATGCTACTGGTGTTTTGCCGTACCTATCAGCTCCAGCACACGACAACATTTTGTTGATGCGAACGATGTGGAATGGGTGGAGACGTATCCTGATGTGGAAGGAGTCTTTTCCGTCAGGTCGTTTTGCACCTGCCTGACTGGTGGTGTGGAGTGCTAAATTCTGTCTTCATTGTTCATAAGGAGGCAAACAAAGAAAACGTTAGGCCTAGAACATAGGTAGCCTAGGGGTACAAAACACATTTTCTTGGTACACTTACAAAGTTGTAACACATTTAGGCTAGGCCTATACCATACCATACCATACTGTAAAGTTTTTTGATACACCTTTTTCATGCTGCAGTAGACATCTTCGGTCGATGGCAACCAATAAAAATAACAGCGTTTCGGTTTTATTTTTGGAGGTCAAGTGGAAAATGGAAGACCAGTTTTGTGTAGTGTTATTAACACATACATTGCCATTATTTCACTGTTGACTGAATGTCATGTACCGTGCTGGCCATTTTTTTGGAGGTCATGTTACTTAAAAACCATAACACCTTAAGGGAGGGTCGTATCGACATATTTTTTCTTTAAAATGTTTGCAAATGATATATCTAAGTACTGTATGAATAACAAAGAAATTAAAAATTGTTTAGTCTGTCAAAACTTAATTCAAATAATAGCAACACACACTATAAAAAATCAAAAAAGTTTTGCCAGACTAAAAAAATTTTCAATTTTTTGAGTAACATGACCTCCAAAAATATGGCTGAAACGCTATGTTATTGCTGTTGGTTACGCTTCGCTGCTCAGTGTTGTTTGTCGTTGATCGAACATGTCTATCGCAGTGTGAAAAAGGCGTATTGCATGGATGATGAAAACTCAAAAACCTAGCTCAAATGTGAGCGGAAAATCCTTAGAAAAATAGGTGCGCGGAATCATAATACTACTGCATAATACATTGTTTATATATTAAGTTTAAGTCAAAGCCTAATTTCGGAAAAATTTGTATAATTAAGTGAATCCATCATTAACATGTAATGAATATAGGCCATATATACATTTCTTTTAATGAATCTATACCGACTGAAAACTATAATTCATTGCAGTTACCACTACAAATTTAAAAATCATAACAATGTGTATTATTTATATTTACATATTGTAGAGTTTTGTAAATGTGACAATAAAGACACCTTATTTTATCTAGAGTGCACTGTTTCGTTATTATATAGAGGGTGCTATATACAATTTTTAATTTTTTTTGTCTCATGCATCACACACCAACAAAGTTGGCAGGTATTTATATAAATTGTGTGTTTAAATTGTTCTGATTTCAACATTTAATAACAATTCATGTTTTCATGTACGAAAATATAATAACCATAGTTTTTTGTTTGACAGGGGATGGAGAAGAGCAAAGTGGACAAACAGAGTCTGTTGGATAGGCTCTTAGATGCAGTGAAGCAATGCCAAGTACGTTTTGGAGGTCGGACAGAGCTTGCAACAGATGTGGACAGCAGGGTGTCTTGCTTATGTGCACAGTTTGAGACCGTGCTTATGCATTGCCTTAAAAAACCTACCGGGAATCCACTAACTGCAATTAAGTAAGATTGTGTATTACTTTTGGAATTGGTTGTAATTTTACTCACATTGTAATTTACAGTAGTTTATTAGCTATAAATAATGTTGCTTTTAGTCTACAAGGTCTATATTTTAAGATTTTATAAAACAATTTACATGAGATCTTGGTACATAGTATTGGAAAGTTCTCTTTGAAATTGTTTTTAAAGCTCAATTGATTCATATATTAAATTACTTAGTTCTAGTATTTTTGGGGCAGAGGAACTAAAATTATTTGAACATTTATACAGTGTTGGGCTTGCCTTAATAAATATTGTTGAATAAATATATGATTTCATGAAATAAATTAATTAATATATGTTTTTTTTTTTCAGGCAGAAGACTGGTATACAAGTACCATCAATTCCAGGAATCAAAAATGATGCTGATTCAGGTTTGTATTGTACCTTAGTTTAGAATATAATCCTCAGACTAGTAATTATTGAGTGGTTCTCCTCCCCCCTTCCCCTTGGCTTTTTCTTGTGAGTCCATTCATTTAGATAGGTAGTTAGGAGAAAACCTATATGTCTCAGCGTTATTGTGCTGAATTTTGTATGGTTGAAATGAACCACAGTATCGGGCTAATCCCCTACACTTCTAAAAGATGTAATGGGTTATTTAACATGCAAATGAGCCACAAGTGCACACTGGACCTCCGGTTTTGTGTTCTTGGCCATGGATCCCCCTCCTCGCCCTTATTTCTATAAACCAAACCTGGGGACGAGGACTGGCTAATATCAGCGCTGTTGTTAAGGCTGTAGTTAGCAGTATCCCTGCCTTACTTCTTGGCCACTCAACCTGCCCAAAATTTTAGATGTATCTTCCTCCTACATTATTGAATAATAATAAAACGGTGATCAAAGACCGAAGTTCACCATCATGGTGCATCCAAGTTGACATCATCGGAAAGCCCTGCACCACGGTCATATAGGCACTTGTGACGAAGATAATAAAGAACTTAACAAAATATAAAGAAATATACAGTATAGCGAGTAGCATCTCAATTTTAAACTTGATTTCGGATCATCAAAAAAAAAAAAAATTGGTCTCTAACTAGAATAATAAAGATAAAAGACATTTGTTAATTTAGGACCACAGAAAAGTGGTCTTTAATTTTAAGTGAGCTTAAATAGGAGTGTCTTTAAATAGAAGTTATAAATTGTTTATAAAATATGATATTTAACTATGTATTACTGTTATTACATAGTTGTTTCAACAGAATTTTTCTTTACAATTTCTCAGGCTTCTGGCCAATTGTTAAAGAACACCTTACACGGCATGAATTGCAACGTTACACATCGCTCAAGAACATCACCACAGATGCTGGTAGAGGGCGTGCTTGGTTGCGTAGCACATTAAATGAGCATTCGCTGGAGCGCTATCTTCATATGATACAGGGAAATAAAAAGTTGTTGGTGTAAGTTACACAAACTTTTTTGTTTGTCAAATTGTTGGCATGATGCCAAGTTTTAAAGCTGTCTTTATAATGTATTTTTGTACTGTTTTTTGCATTTGTGGTTTGTGCTGCAGCATTTTAACATTTGTTATTTTCATACAAACAGTTTTAATGCGTTGTAAATGTTCATTTACTGGGATAAGTAATACAAATATCATGTTTATATATTTTTTATTTAAATTGCATCAAACCAACAGCAACAATGTTCTCAATGTATAAACATGATAATAATATAATACTTATAGTAATGATGGTAATAAAATGGTGGTCATTAGGATTTGCCCATTGTTCAGTTGCATTTGCAATTGTTTTTATTCTTATGTATAGGTCTCCCCCTAATTAAGGACCCTCCAATAAAAGACCACCTCCAGTTAAAGACCACATTTCTGTAGTCTCAAATGATTGTGTATCATATCTTTGTAGTCTCAAATGAATGTGTATCATAACTTTTTAGTAATGTTTTTTTCTGATTAAGACCATAGCTGGTAAAGACAATAAAACCCCCAGTTCCAAAAGTGGCCTTTATTTAGAGAGAGACCTGTATTGTGTATCATTGTATCAATTAATAATTATAATTCATATTTACTTTTTTTCAGTCAGTTTTATGAGCCCTTGGCATTCCTCCTGGATGAAGAGAGAGCTAGCATGCTACCTACAATGGCAAGAGGACTAGGATCAATATTATTTGCAATTAACATTGATAATAAAGAACTTAATGGAATTAAACCGGTAAGACATAAACCACTGACCTTGAGGTCAAGGGTTTAAATCCATCACTGCAACTTAATTTAATCTAATCATGTATTTTAATGTATTTTCTCAATCATTAATGTAAATAAATATTTCAGTCTAACAATTTCTATCTTGACTGCTGCTATATGATTGTATGTTTAAAGTTTTATGATTATTCAATGATTCTTTTTTGTAAGGTTTCTATGCCTTCCCTCGCTGCAATAATCAGCACTGAACATTCACAACCAATTGATTATATGGCAGGGGAGCAAGAACCAGTGTTATCAAAGGAGGTGTCTAGCAGAACAGGTGAGTGTTGAGCAGCATATTTGAGTCAGCTAAACTGGTGGTAGCCACTGTGTGTGCGATCTCTTGTTCCCCTGTTCAGTTCCGCTTGCTGTTCTTTATTTGTTTCAGCTGAAGGGCTGAAATAAAAGTTAGAATAGTGCACTGGCATTTGGATGAGACGTTTAAGCCGTTGGTTTTGTGTAAAATATGACGCAGTACACATTTCGGAAAACAGTAGGGGATTGTCTCCCGACGTACTGCCAAAATTACCACCAGAAGGACCCCACTGGAAGCATGTTTTCGGACTTAGTGGGTTAAATTGGCGCACTGAGACATCGTAAGATGCACTTTAAGTTTGGATTGGTTATCTTCTACCCTCTTGTCTAGTAGAATAGGAATGGATTTAGGATGAACCTAATTTTGCTTGATGTAAATGCAGGTATCTATCATGTTTGACGTTATTTATGTAGATGAAATGAATGGTTTTTGTAAGAAATAATTGTAATGTATTGTAATGACCATACATTTTGTACCTTTCGCATTTTATGTTTTGTTTTTTTTTACATCAAATGTTTGAAGTTTTTTTGCCATTTAATAGTTTGCTGGTGGATGTGAATTACATTTTGATATTTTCAAAATAAATGAAATAGAAATAAAAAATAATAAGATAATTAAAATTTACTTTTCTCTTTAAAATCTTAGGTTCATTACATGAAAAGGAAAGGAAAGAAAAGAAGAAGAAAAAGAAGAAAAAGGGACCAACCTCAATTGTCTCATTTGATGACAATGATTCTGAGGAGAAAAGTTCCACGGAAAGCTACCCTGCATTAAAACGAAAATCAAAAGGACAAAAATCCTCCCCATCCAAAAGTGGATCATCCCAAATCTCTGATACATCAACCGTTCAGAATATCAATGAATACAAAGTACTTGATCACCAAATTTCTCAAGATAAAGGTCATAGGTTACAATTTACAGAACAATTATCCAACACATCCGGTTCTACAGAGGGTGGAACAGTAGATAAAGGCACAAGTAATAAACAGTTAGAAGATGTAACGCCTACGAATTCCATACCAATTGATTTTCGTATATCAGCACAATCCGCACAAGGATGGAGTGAAAAAACCGAGTCTTCCCTAACCAGCCAATCACATCTCTCTTCTTCATATCCTGGAAAGACACCACCCTCAACGCCATATAACTCATCACTGCTTTCCCAATACGAAGAACTTGGTGAGAAAATCGATGCTGACTATATCAATAAAAAATTACAGGATAGAGAATCCCAGCAGTTTCAGGAACCCTCTTCTCTGCCAAATTCTGATGAATTAGAAGGGTCTGGTGAAACGGATTCCACTACGGATAAAAAGGATTTGCTGAATGGAGAAGTACACCTGAGGGTTGGCAATGGCAATCAAGATGATGAGCGAAGGTGTAGCAGTGGGTTGTTCCAGGTGCTAGGTGATGAGGGACCAGGTGATTTGATACCATTATCACAGGATGCTGCCACAGGTGTGTTGACGTCTCCTACTACCACCTTCATTCATTTGCATAATTGTTTACATAACTTACTCATTATTCATCCCTTGTGTCTGTTATAGTGTTTCTGTTTATGTGTGTGTGTGGTTTTTATGCGTTTTATATTATAGTGTCTTTTCCGCTTTTATTGATTATTTTTTATTTCTATGAAGGCCCCTTGGAGTCACCTTCCTAGCTGTAAGGGCCACCTTCTTAAAATAAATTATGATAAAATATAAATAAATTCAATAGTTTTATTCATTAATTTTATTTATCATTAATTAATTAATTCAGCCATTCAATAATTCCTTTTTAATTCCTTTATAATAAAATAAAAATAAATTCATTCAATAGTTTTATTCATTAATTTTATTTATTATTAATTAATTCAGTTATTCAATAATTCCTTTTTAATTCATTTATTAATAATTAGTTTGTTCCTTCATTTATTATTCATTTAATTCATTCATTTATTCTTTCATTTAATAATTGATTCATTCATTAATTAATTTGTTCATTTGTTGTAACAGGTTCTAAATGTTACAACAAAGTCTGATCATTTCTAGTTACTGCATTTATGTATTTGCAGAGGACACGCAATCAAACGATTCAAGTATGCTAGGCTTTGGCGTGGAAACCGAAAGTGCGACAATTGGAGTTGCACTGGCTCAAAAAGGACTTCAATTAAGGTAAAAAAAGCTCCAAAGAATCAAGATTTTCTGAATTTATATTGATTTACATTATGCATTGCATGGACATTTACAAGAATTGAAAAAATGTACAGCATTCATTAATAGTAGTAGTTAGTATTCCATTTTCAGTATAAACTTGGACATTTTGTTGTGGTAGTGATTTTTAATCGAGTGATAGCATTGTGCATGCTGCCATACTAAATGAAAACTAAGTGAAAACAAACACATTATTGTTCTAAGGATTGTTTTGTTTTTTGGTTCCTATGGGTTGCAGCATAGAACAAATTATAATGGACTTGATGCATGTAATTTTGTGTGTGTTTTAAACCAAGTTTTTAAACAAGCAAATTAAAAAACTGTACACATACTAGTTAAATAAATATAGCTTGATTTATTACTCTTATTGTAAAAGAGAAAATGTATTAAGATGACCTAAAAAGTGATGCAAATCCACAAGAATAAGTGTTGAATATTTTGTTGTATCAACAACACATCAGCAACTGAGAGAGGAGTTAGGCAGGCAGTGTCTTATTATATATACTGTGCTAGTAAGCAAACAGTTGGAGGGTGATAAATAAGGACAACCAAGTAATGAGAAAATCATTTAATATGATTAATATAGCAGTTGCTGATGTATAGTTGATACAACAAAATATTCAACACTTATTCTTGTGGATTTGTATAACTCTTTAGATCATTTTAATACATTTTCTCTTGTACACACATTAATAATGAATTTCTGGTGTTTAGTTAGTGTCGTTTATCCATAGTTGTTTGATTTTATTTTTTGATGAATATTAAAGCCAAACAGGGTATTAAATCCTTCCTCCTCCTCACCTTTATTATATACTATCATAATTTTATAATGCTATCTCTCATTGTTTATAATGATTAGACTATTGGGTATCTACAGAAAAATAATTTGTTTGGTGGGTTTTCTGCACATTTACAGCACAACTGCACATTTCAGCTAATTCCTAATTTGCATGAGGAAAAATATTACGCAGGAGATGTGTTCTGGGGAAAATTTTGCGAGTGCCCCTATTCTCATTTCTGGGTGAATGCGCATCACATATAATGTTATTAGGGAGCTTTCGAATGAGAACGTAGAACAGGAATGTAGAACGGATTCTCTCATCCTTGACTGTCATCGCATGCGTTAAACTGCATTAAACCAATTTCAGTTGCTTACAATGCGTACGTGGATATATCACGAACGCCAGAGACTGATATGCGCAGTTAAATTTATTGTGACGTACTTTAAACCAATTTCAATTTTTTATAATGCGTACAGGGATATGTCGCAAACGCAAAAGACAGACATGCACAGCTAAATTTAACGTGACTTCATTACGTTCTATGTCTTCGCAAATCAAGAAGCTGTGTGATATCTAACAGACATCACAGAGGCTTGTAAGTATTTCTGAGGTATGGCATCTACTTAAGGAAGCCTGTGTTTATTAAGCTAATTTTACGGAGCTTAAAGTACCTCTGCATAGATACTGTAAAATTATCTTTCTTTTTTTATTATTAGGTTACCAAAGTTTTTGGAGAGTGCTTCATTGCCTTCGCCGGAGTATGAATCATTGTCACATGGTAAACATATTTCTATGTAGTGAATTTTCTGTAATTAAATAATATCCAAGTCTTCATTCTTTGTATTATCTATGGGGGTTCTATTTATTTAATTATTAGATTAATTATTTTTCTATATATTTATATGAGATACTCCAGTGGCAGATCTAGCAATTTGAAATAGAGGGAGCCCAGTGAGGGACTCACAGATGGAGGGTGTAGACCACCTCAGCCCCACAATGTTTGGGGGCCGAGGTGAGAAAATTTATAATTATTGCAACTCTAGATGGCCAGAAATCGCGCTTTCAGACTACAATGTGAATATAATTTTCCTTTTTTCTCCATTTTTTTCATAATCTAAAAAATATTTAGGGGGCCACCATACTTCTAGTACAAATTTTATGTGTTATTAAATTTTTAAAACCCCCCAGAAATATGTTTAGGGTGTTATAGCATACATATTATTTCATTTTAGGGGGCCTGGCCGGCTGAGTCCCCCTTGAATCCACCACCATACTCCTAGTACAGATCAACGTGCCGTAGTGTTGGAATGCAATATTTTGATTCTTTGTTTGGTAATTTTCCAGAATATAAACCTTCTTCATTTATTGGAATGTCTGTCTTGAAAATTGTTTAGATTGTCTTAGATTTGTAATATTCTCATATACACTTACCTTACTTGGGTCAGCGTCGCTGCCTCGGTGGTGCATGGTAGCAGAGCCTGAGGCATAGGCTAAAGGTGGAAACTATTGGAGCCCAGCATACCACCTTGTGTAGAATATCTGTGAATACATGGCTACATAGAGAGAGTGACGCTGACCCAAGTACAGCTCATGTAATTTAATTGTTTCTGGTTCTTAAACTTCATTGTTTCTTTTGTCTGTCATATTTTTTACTTCTTGTGGAGGGGCGCCATGAGCGTTTTCTTTAAACGGATACCGGCCCTTTAAAAGTTTTCTTTATTATTATTATTATTATTATAATGTTATATCACCCAGTTATGTAGGCTGATGTCATATTATACCCATATATGGGAAAACCATATATGGGAAAGTTTTCCCATATATGGGAAATGTGTTACCTTTAGTGAGATAAGTATCAGGATAGATTTCTTAGAAGTGAGTTTATTTTTATAGTTTTCACGGTTTATTAAATTTTAAAATGCCCTCAGAAATATGTTTATAGTGTTTTTAAGATAAGAACATATATTTTTTTTAATTTCTAAATTTTCAGATGATTTAAAACAAGCTTTAATGTCAATTATGATGCGTAAGGACGAAGTGGAAGACCAGAACAAGTAAGAAATCTCATAATTGTTATTTTAATTTATAATTTATTTCATTTCTTTTTTCGCTGTTATAAAACAGAGATAACAAAAAGTGGGTATAAAAACATCCAGCAGTAATGGCAATCAATCAATCAATCAGTCAATCAATCAATCAGTGATCTGCCTTTTGCAGGTTCATATAGTAACCACTCCTGCCATCTTTCATGGTCTTGCACTTTTTTGCTTAACTCTTGATATGTGCTTCAATGTTTTGAAGCTATCCGGGAGTGCACATCCCTTTCAACCTCTGGATGACTTACCCAGATATTTTTCTTTTAAAGTCCGTTTCAGGAGACTGTCATGTTGTACTGAGAGTCCGATACATTTATGATGTTGTTTCTTTATTCTGTAGGTGATTTACCTTTCTTCTATGAATCAAAAGTGTTTTATATGGTAATAATGTTGAAAATAACAAATTTTAAAAAAAGTGAAATGAATATTAAATTAATCATAAAATAAAAGTTCTGAAAAATTCCTTTTTCTCACACACAAAAATATAAAAATGGTTAGTTTAATGAAATTTAAAACTCCAGATAAGTTTATTATTAATATAAACACATCATATGTTTTAGTTTAAACACATTGCTTGTTACATCCATCAAAGGAATTTTAACATTGAAGTTTCACGGAAAGTGCACTTAATAAATGCAGATTTGATAAATTTGTTATTATTTTGGTAATTATTTTAGCGATTATTTTAGTGTTGCTGAGGGCGCCAGGGGACGATTATATTCGTCAAAATCGGGGTAACATTCTAGCGTTTATTACTTCTTTGTTATACATTGTAGAACCAAAAACTTAACGGCTAGGAGTTCGGGGAAGATACATTTAGACGATGACGTACAAATGACGTATATATGTTTGCTGTGTTATGTTGCAGGCAATACACTCAAGCGCACAAATACGGGCGCCCTTTCAACATATACTGTAGTAATCAATGCGAAAAGCGGACGAGAATACTCGCACTTGGCATAATCAATAAAAAGTGCTGTCACAATGTCACCGTAATATTTTCCCACCAATTTATTAGACACATCATTTTGATGATATATGACTAGATTTGTTTTGGCACACCTGAAGGAACATTAAAAAAGGCCTGGCAGTCAACATGTTAACTCTTCCTGTGTGAACAATTTAGATCTCAACTCAATTTTATTTTGTGAAATTTGAAATCAAAGTAGTTGGTGTATCTGATCTACCTCCATCGTCTACTATTTAATACGTACATTCTCTACCACCAACATTATCTTTAAACTTTTTTAGATCTTTAAGAATGTTATTGGACAGTGAGATGGAACACACTGCCAAGTTAAGGGCCGAGTTGGAAGAACTTAAGAAGGATTACGATGACCAAGAGGAGAAGAGTTACGCAAAGGTTCAAAATCTCACTAGGTAACGTTATCTTTAAAGACAGGAACACATTGCATCATACAAGGTTTTGGACCAACATATCCAGCTCATTATCTCTGTGAGTGCTTGAAGACGCGGTGCCACTTGCTGATTGTGAATGGCAGGCATAGTGGATTATTAAAAATGATTTGGCGTGCCTTACCATGGGCAGATTTATGGGGGGCTGAGCTGGCCCCCCTTTTTCAGAAAATAAAACAAAAAGGGAGAATGTATGAAAGAAAAATAAATTATTGATCGTCGAAAATGCCTCAGAGGTTATTTCTGGGCGTCTAGAAGACAAAAATTCCTGCTTGCCACGTTGCATTCCCTTTGGAATTGTGTCGGCCATTGATGCAGTGTGTACCCGAACTGTTGGTCACTTTGATTGTGTCCTTGAAAGACATTGCACCATTCCACTAAGCAGTGCACCCTTTGATATAACCCATTTTAATTGGTTAGTTAAGTTTGATTTAAATAAATGAGAAATGTTGATTGGGTATTTAACTTCAGAGAAAGTGAGTTATTGAAACATCAGTTGAAGAAATATGTGAGATGCTGAGAAGCGAGTACATCCTTCCATTAAGCCCCTCTCCATGATATAACCCATTTTGATTGGTTAGTTAACTGTTGAATGGATATTTAATTTCAGAGAAAATGAGTTGTTGAAACATCAGTTGAAGAAATATGTTGGAGCAGTACAGATGCTGAGAAGAGAGGGGCCATCTTCCATTGAAGGTTGGTATTTCAGTTAAGCCCTGTTCATGTTACATGCTTAAACATGGTCATGATGACATCACATCATGACCATATATAGGCACATGATGACTATATATGGGCATTCAACAGTTATTTGTCAAAGAAAATGGGATAGTCTGGACAGAACTTAATACAGATATATTTTTTTTAAATTAAAAAATTAAATTAAATAATTGTATTGCTTACTATCTTATAACAGACTCATGAATACTACCATTTTCTATATTCTTTACATATATGGTCATGATCTGATGTCATCGTCACTATATATTTTATCTTTAATTTGGGTTTTTTTTCAGCCACATCATATATTATCATATATTGTATGTGTATATCAGATCATAAGGACAAAATAAATGATATAACATCATACATAATATATGATATATATAATGTCATCTATCATATTATCTTTCAAAGACAATGTATTATGTGGTATATCATATGAATTCATGTATCATCCATATTAAATGTTATTAATACTAATTTTACTGAATAATTTTTAAGTGTTTGATAATGATGTGAATTTTGATGATAATTTTATATTCTGTCCAAATGATATTTGTCAAAAAATGTTTATGTATACAGTGCAGTATATATAGTTTTTATATACAGTACATTATATAGTATAGTTTTTACTGTTGATTTTTGTTCTGCAGGGATTAAAGGCATAAGAAAGGATGACCTTCAACCTCCAATACCTGAACCTAAACCCCCTCTAGTAGATTACAGGTAAAACATTATTGTATTTTAATTTTTATATCAATGTATAAATTTCTGATACACCACAAAGTAGCTCTATAAAGGAGTAATGTGTTGAGAATATTTTATAGATGGCTCTTTTTGTCTTCAGCAGAATCTAAATACATAAAAACTGTTGTATGCCTATATATAGTCATGATGTGCCTATATATGGTCATGGTGTGATGTCATCATGACCATATTTAGGCATGTCACATAAAGTGATAGAATTTTAATATTTTCAATAGGCAAAAACATTGTAAATAACTCAAACTATGATATGGAAAGAAAATCTCTTCTTATTCTCTTTAATTAAATTATCAAATTTTGATTTAAGATTGATTTTGATTTTGTCAAATAATATTTGATAGTCGGAACATTGCTTAACTCCTTTTCTCTGTTTGCGATTTGTTCCTCTTTCAGCGAGCAGTCGGCCGAGTACGAGAGAAAGCTGATTCAGGTCGCAGAAATGCACGGTGAGCTGATGGAGTTCAATGACCACCTTACGAGGGTGCTCAAGTCGAAAGAACACTCGATACAAAGACTTAAAGCCGAACTGGTAGACCTAAGAGGACCGGTACGTATAAATTCAATTCCCGCAATGCAAAATTCGCCATGCATAACATGCATGTTTTATTTCTAGCGGGTCGTCTAGCAGGTACACAGCGAGACATACGCCTACTCTTTTCCGAAGGGTGTACTGCATACCTTAATGTGCACGTGGGTCATATTTTGCAACGGCTTAAACATCCTTTTCAAAACATGGTGCGCTGTTTTTACTTGCATTTTGGCCCTACACCTGAAACACAAGCAGAGCAGCGGATGTGCGGCTGTGGCTTAACTAGTATTCTTAAAGTGGTAGCTGATGGAAGGGCGTGAAGGTGGAGTGGGACTCAATGATTAAGTGAGGGGGCTCTAGGTCGCAAAATAAGGTGATTTTTAATTACTTGAGCCAGGATTGTTTTGCTTCGAACCCCCTGCGCACACTCTAGATATGCAGTTGTAGCATGGTTGTGAGTGTGCAGGATTCAGTCCACATAATAATAATAATAATAATAATAAAAATAACAATAATAATAACAATAATAATAATATTAATAACAACAGCAACAAAAACAACAATAACAATAACAACAACAACAGCAACAACAACAACCACAATAATAATACTAATAATAATAATAATAATAATAATAATAATAATAAACAAGCATTTTTAATGCGCTGTATACGATAAAGTCTGAATGAGGTTTGCTGCCACTACACTTGAGAATCGTGACAATTGACGATTTTTATGACAATATATAGATGAAAGTTAAAATTTGTTATGATTAATAATGACCTAATTGTCTTTTTTCTGACCCCAGTTACCTGATGAGAGTTCTATATCAGAAGATGCTAGTTCTCAAGACATCGATTCGTAAGCATTTTTTTTTATAAAATATAATCGAATATTTACTTATTTCTACATCCGTATTTTGGGTATGTTTTTCAAGGGAATAGATAGACCACCAAGCGATCTACTTTTCAAATCCTAAGTCACTGCCATAATATAAATGGTCAATGAAAAATATAATATATATAATACCCCTGCAATTTACCAAGAGCACTGTTCTAGATAAAAAATTGAAAGAAATGTTCTAACATAAATTTTACCCAGATAGATATATTTAATGTGTATATATGGGCATGGCTGTAGCCACCAATACGGTTGGTCAGGTTTCAACCAGACCACTTTTTGACAGATCACAATTAATTGATTAGGACTTCAATAGGAAAAAAGCTATATTCCACCTGTATGTTATACTGAACCTACTCCCTCTTGATTCAGGAACCACCTGTCTGTGAACTCTGGGGTGAATGTTTAATGATAGTTTACATTATTTTCTTTAGTGTAAGATTTATAATGATTGATTAAAAACTAGGATGCAATTTTTCTTCAGTTTAAATTCAGTGTCTCTGTGGGCTTAGCTTTTATCCAAATCAAGTAGGTCGCTTACTACACACAGTGAGCTTTTGCAGAAAATCAGACTAAAGGTTCCCTTATACACTTGCCTAGGACTTACATTCATTTCTTCACTAAATTACCTAGTCAACTGACAAGAAAAAAAACATGACTTTATCTGTATATTTATTCCTATAGTTCTAGTATGCAACATTATTTCTATAAATAAATAAATTGTAAATATATAGCCTTTTTTGAGCACTGCTCTTAAATACACGTCAAGCGCGGGTCCAGAGTTTACATTGACTATCGCACAGATGGGTTCCCATGATGGGTAGGGTTATGAGAAGAGAGCTAGCTTGTTCTGTCGCTGGAAGATAAATTTTAGTGGGGTGGGCTGGGTGAGGGGATCATCGGCTCTTCCTTCGTTTTGTTTTCTAAATGCACATTTGTGCATTATGAGACCTCCATTATTGAATACACTCTGAATTCATAGCTTTTCCCTACTTTACTATGGACAATTAATGGTTATGATGATGAAGAAGATGATGATGAGGAGGAGGAAGCTACATGATGACAGGCTCCTGTGCAAGATTAATTAACAGGCCCTTTGATGTGATGTGTCAAGCGAGGCCCGTAGCCTGAGTCACGGTTGAGAATTTGGCAGAATTATTGTCGTCAAATGTTTAATGCACATAGTCGGACAGTAGTTATATTATTTATGATATTTCGTTTGTATAGAAAGTAATATGAAACCCATAAAATATCAGTTCAGGCATTCATTTATCTGTCTGTGGAAAATATAACAAATGAATTATACAAAATAAAAAGAATACAAATAAAATAAAAACATGTAAAAAACACCTACATTAAATGAAAATGGAATATTCACTTCCTGTTGGATCGCAGTTTTAGTGTTGCAGGGGTTTGGAAGGCTTTACATTTTAACCAATCCCCACATATCCGATAGATTACTGATTAAAATGTAAAATATTTAAGATTTTACATTTAGTACATTCTCAAATGTCATGTAAATCTTATATATCCCAATATAATTTTGATGTTTTTCATGTTGTTTGTTTAATGGTCTTTAATGATATTACAGTCTAATATGACCACAACATAAGGAGTCCTCTCTTTTGACTTTTAAACTTCTAAACTTTGCTTACCTCAATATACATTTTATATTTTCTTAAATCATAAGGAAGTTGTTTGTTGAATGGCCTTTAGTCATATTACAGTCTAATAGGGACTATGACCACAACATAAGGAGTCCTCTCTTTTAAATTTTAAACTTCTAAACTTTGCGTAGCTCAATATACATTTTATATTTTCTTAAATCATAAGGAAGTTGTTTGTTGAATGGTCTTATTACAGTCTAATAGGGCCTATGGCCACAGCATGTTGGAATTGCCTTCCTTTACATGTGCGTAATGGTAATTTTAATTTATTTAAGAAATTTGTTAAAAAATCGTTCATATAACTTGTATGACTATACGTTTTGCTGATGAGTGCTTGTGGATCCCAAACATTTATTGTACAGGAACTCTGTTCCTTTTGGTATGCCCGCCTCCCTACTCACCAGCAATCTGTATACTCTTTGTTTCAATGGATTTTCTTTTTCTTTCAATTTTAGTGTTTTAATCTTGTATTGTATATACATATATTTTTTATGGAGGAAATAAGTATAATAATAAATAATAATAACATAAGGAGTCCTCTCTTTAATTTTTAAACTTCTAAACCTTGGTTAGCTCAATATACATTTATATTTTCTTAAATCATAAGGAAGTTGTTTGTTGAATGCTCTTTAGTCCTATTACAGGCTAATGGGGCCTATGACCACAACATAAGGAAGTCCGCTCTTTTAACTTTTAAACTTCTAAACTTTGCTTAGTATACATTTATATTTTCTTAAATCATAAGGCAGTTGTTTGTTGAATGGTATTTAGTCATATTACAAGATAATAGGGCCTATGACCACAACATAAGGAGCCCTCTCTTTTAACTTTTAAACTTCTAAACTTTGCTTAGTATACATTTATATTTTCTTAAATCATAAGGCAGTTGTTTGTTGAATGGTATTTAGTCATATTACAAGATAATAGGGCCTATGACCACAACATAAGAAGCCCTCTCTTTTAACTTTTAAACTTCTAAACTTTGCGTAGCTCAATATACATTTATATTTTCTTAAATCATAAGAAGTTGTTTGTTGAATGCTCTTTAGTCCTATTACAGGCTAATGGGGCCTATGACCACAACATAAGGAGTCCTCTCTTTTAACTTTTAAACTTCTAAACTTTGCGTAGTTCAATATACATTTATATTTTCTACAATCATAAGGAATTTCACTCCTTAAATAAGTATAGATAGTGCAGATAGACTGTCAATCTCAGATATTCAAATTTTAGGAAATCGTTTTATGCATGCAGCAATGTGAGAACTTTGACATAATACATTTGATATGTATGTGTTATGTTGTTTTTCGTTGAATGGACTTCTTTAATAATAATATTACAGTCTAATATGACCACAACATAAGGAATTCCACTCTGTAAATGTTTAGCATAATATAGTACAGAGAATTTCGATTGTTTACCAAAATCGTTATGCACATGTTAGATCCAAATTCCAAGACATTACGTTTTATGCACGCACTAACGAGGAAAGTTTAAACATAATAGTTTTGATATGTACATGTTTTATTATGTGTGTTGATGGGTCTTAGTTAATAATACTACAGTTTAAAATTCATATTATGATAACAACTTGGTCATAATATAACTTATTCTTAAAGGAAGCATAATAATGCAATCTTTCAACAATTGTACTCTTGATTTTTGTGATTTTACTTCCACTAGGAAATTAATTAAACATGCATAATTGTCTTCTGTGATTTTAAAATAACAAAATATAATAAAACTATATGCCTTCCAATAAGGTTATAAGAATCTCTCCCTGTAATTGTTTTTTAATTAACCATACATCGTGACATAAATCAAAATAAAATTTAAAAAAAAACTCAACTGTACATCGCGCAGCCGATTTAATTTCAGTTCATTTTAATTAATAGTTGGACAATGTAGAAATGCATTATTGTCTGTATTTTTGTCTTTAGTTGAGGTAGGTGGCATTTCTGACAGAAGGAATTGGAATTTGCCAGACCACCAGGCACAGCAATCGCTTTATATTTTTTTTAATATCCTTTTATCTCTCGCCCTGAGCTTCGCCATGGCGAACAATGCGAAGGTCTGGATCCGCGCCTGTATATATTGATTGAAAGTGTACCATTGCAATGTGATTTTTCATTCATAACTCTAATCTTAGATTTTTGTCAATGTCAACAGGCAAAATATTAAAATAACAGCAATGCTGTAAGTAACAATAAATAACCTGCCTGTTTTGAATTCTTAGTATTTTTATTGTTTTGCTTCATCATAGCTCTGATGTTAGTTTAAAAAATTTTTTTTATAAAAAAATTGTTTAAACCATGTATTAGATTACTACTACAGAACATCATTAAAATTGGTGTATACATTGAAAAAATAGCAAATTTTTCTCGGTTCCTCCGGCGCCAGAACCCTGGACGTGGGCTCTTGGCACCCCAGCCTCAATGCTCGCTTCACTCGCGACCTGACCACTTCAATTTTCGTGGCTACGGCCCTAATATGGGTATCCATGTGTGGGCATAAAAATGGGGTCGGACAGCAAACTGATTTTGAAATTGAACACTGGAAGCTGCAAGAAAATTTATGGTGACATCTTGAGATTTTGAATGTGCTTGCAAAAAACCTTCATACACTTCTTTATACTGCTGTATGCTCATTGGTTCTCTTTAGAGATGTTTGCCGTGTGGGCTAAACAAGAAGGGGTTTTTTAGCCAAAGATGGTTGGCGAGTCGCACACATTTAACCAATCCCCACATATCCGATAGATTACTGATTAAAATGTAAAATATTTAAGCTTTTATATTTAGTACATTCTCAAATGTCATGTAAATCTTATAATATATCCCAAAAATTATGTGCACCAAAGTGGAAAGTTTAACCTAATATAATGTTGATGTGTTTCATGTTGTTTGTTGAATGGTCTTTAATGATATTACAGTCTAATATGACCAAAACATAAGGAAGTCCTCTCTTTTAACTTTTAAACTTCTAAACTTTGCTTACCTCAATATTCATTTTATGTTTTCTTAAATCATAAGGAAGTTCTTTGTTGAATGGTCTTTATTCATATTACATGCTAATAGGGCCTATGACCACATAAGGAGTCCTCTCTTTTAACTTTTAAACTTCTGAACTTTGCTTATCTCAATATACATTTTATATTTTCTTAAATCATAAGGAAGTTGTTTGTTGAATGGCCTTTATTCATATTACAGGCTAATATGGCCTATGACCACAGCATGTTGGAATTGCCTTCCTTTACATGTGCGTAATGGTAATTTTAATTTATTTAAGAAATTTGTTAAAGAATCGTTCATATAACTTTCTTGTATGACTATACGTTTTGCTGATGAGTGCTTGTGGATCCCAAACATTATTGTACAGGAACTCTGTTCCTTTTGGTATGCCCGCCTCACCAGCAATCTGTATACTCTCTGTTTCAATGGATTTTCTTTTTCTTTCAATTTTAGTGTTTTAATCTTTTATTGTATTTTATGGAGGAAATAAGTATAATAATAAATAATAATAACATAAGGAGTCCTCTCTTTAATTTTTAAACTTCTAAACTTTGGTTAGCTCAATATACATTTATATTTTCTACAATCATAAGGAAGTTGTTTGTTGAATGGTTTTTAGTCATATTACAGGCTAATGGGGCCTATGACCACAACATAAGGAGTCCTCTCTTTTAACTTTTAAACTTCTAAACTTTGCGTAGCTCAATATACATTTATATTTTCTACAATCATAAGGAATTTCACTCCTTAAATAAGTATAGATAGTGCAGATAGACTGTTTATCTCAGATATTCAAATTTTAGGAAATCGTTTTATGCATGCAGTGATGTGAGAACTTTGAGATAATACCTTTGATATGTATGTGTTATGTTGTTTGTTCGTTGAATGGACTTCTTTAATAATAATATTACAGTCTAATATGACCACAACATAAGGAATTCCACTCTGTAAATGTTTAGCATAATGTAGTACAGAGAATTTCGATTGTTTACCAAAATCATTATACACATGTTAGATCCAAATTCCAAGACATTACGTTTTATGCACGCACCAACGAGGAAAGTTTAAACATAATAGTTTTGATATGTACATGTTTTATTATGTGTGTTGATTGGTCTTAGTTAATAATACTACAGTTTAAAATTCATATTATGATAACAACTTGGTCATAATATAACTTATTCTTAAAGGAAGCATAATAATGCAATCTTTCAACAATTATACTCTGACCAAAACCAAACTTGATTTTTGTGATTTTACTTCCACTAGGAAATGAATTAAACATGCATAATTGTCTTCTGTGATTTTAAAATAATAAAATATAATAAAACTATATATGCCTTCCAGTAAGGTTATAAGAATCAACGCACATGTATACTCTCCCTGTGATTGTTTTTTAATTAACCATACATCGTGACATAAATCAAAATAAAATTTTTAAAAAACTCAACTGTACATCGTGCAACCGATTTAATTTCAGTTCATTTTAATTAATAGTTAGACAATGTAGAAATGCGTTATTGTCTGTATTTTTTCTTTAGTTGAGGTAGGTGGCATTTCTGACACAAGGAATTGGAATTTGCCAGACCACCAGGCACAGCAATCGCTTTATATTTTTTTAAATATCCTTTTATCTCTCGCCCTGAGCTTCGCCATGGCGAACGATGCGAAGGTCTGGATCCGCGCCTGTATATATTGATTGAAAGTGTACCATAGCAATGTGATTTTTCATTCATAAGTCTAATCTTAGATTTTTGTCAATGTCAACAGGCAAAATACTAAAATAACAACAATGCTGTAAAGTAACAAGCTAGTCTTAAATAAACCTGCCTGTTTTGAATTCTTAGTATTTTTATTGTTTTGCTTCATCATAGCTCTGATGTTAGTTTAAAAAACATTTTTTATAAAAAAATATTTTAAACCACATTACTACTACAGAACATCATTAAAATTAAAATTGGTGTATACAATGAAAAAATAGCAAATTTTTCTCGGTTCCTCCGGCACCAGAACCCTGGACGGGGCCCTTGGCACCCCCAGCCTCAGTGCTCGCTTCATTCGCGACCTGACCACTTCAATTTTCGTGGCTACGGCCCTAATATGGGTATCCATGTGTGGGCATAAAAATGGGGTCGGACAGCAAACTAATTTTGAAATTGAACACTGGAAGCTGCAAGAAAATTTATGGTGACATCTTGAGATTTTGAATGTGCTTGCAAAAAACCTTCATACACTTCTTTATACTGCTGTATGCTCAGTGGTTCTCTTTAGAGATGTTTGCCGTGCGGGCTAAACAAGAAGGGGTTTTTTAGCCAAAGATGGTAGGTGAGTCGCACACATAGGGTTTTAGTTTATTTTTGCAGGCCACAACAAAATTAACTCTGAATAATAGAATATAAAGCACTATAATACTGTAATTTTCTTGTACGTAGGGCATCATTGACCAGTCCTGGGAGGCCGCTGATTAATCTGTGGATTCCGTCAGCTTTCATCAAAGGAAAGAGTAAAGACACTTTCCATGTTTACCAGGTAAGAAAAGATTTATACTTTACTATAAAATATTACGACCTTTAGAATTTCGTTCACCTTTGACATTTTTCTTCCGTACAATTTAACACAGTTGCCTACTCCTATTTTAGGCCCTAGCATGCACTGGGTTTTGATGTAAGTATAATTATGTGCATTTCAGCCCCCAAACTGGGACACGAACATGAATTGTGTACACTAACCCCCTCCCCTCGCATTTATAATCATTATTCATAAACACACAATAATGTGTGTGTGTGCTGTTTGAACCAGCGCTTATGTTATGGCTCTATGTTGCGGTGCTCCGGCCATAACGGGTCAGCATTTAAATTTGATTTTTATATCAGTTGATATAGAATTCGCTTAAAGTATATTTATTCTGTTGTTGTGACAGGTTTATATTCGCATACGAGATGAGGAATGGAATGTTTATAAGAGGTACACACAGTTCAGAGATTTCCACAACATATTAAGAAAAAGCCATCCAGCAATTAATAAGTTTGAATTTCCACCAAAGAAAGCAGTGGGCAACAAGGTAACAGGATATTTAACAATTATTTGTGTTGCTTATGTTGATTTGCCAAAACAAAATGATTATATGGCATATTATGAGTATTAAAAATGCACATATTTTCTGCTTTTTCAAGATGAACTTATTTATATTATATATATCATTGTTACAATAAAATGATGGCATTATATTAGGCCTATATACAGTATATTTATTATTATTATTGTTGTTATTATTATTTTATTTAAAGACAATCCAAACCAGTCACTGGTTGCAAAAATCGACTTTTAGTTATTACTGCACGGTTAAACGGAATGAGGCAATAAAATAGTCAAAGAATCATTTAAATCCGACATTTCCCTATGAAGTTTACAAGAGTTCAAACATACAGGTGTTGAAAGAACAATATTTAAGAAATCAACTTTCAAAGTTTACGATTTGGGGCATATCTCAAGCAGAAGCCATCACCAAATCGTTAAAAATTGATGTTTTAACATTGAAAATTGGGAAAATAACAGCATAGCCTGATGTATAGATATATAAAGGTTAATTTAGTGCAATAAAATAGATTTCAAAAATGTTGACATTCCAGCATGTTTTGGCCATTATCTCTGAAACACCATTTGCGATGAGTGACTGGTTTGGCTTGTCTTTCCCACATATACATATATATTTATAATTTATATGAATAGATATTATTATTATTAATCATTTTTTTAAATCTTTTCAATGCCTATTGCTTCTCTAGATTCTTTTATGAACAATATTTTAATGTGTTAATATTTTAGGAAGCAAAGTTTGTTGAAACCCGACGCAAGTTGCTACAGGACTACCTCCGACATGTAATTAATTACCATATGCACAATAACGCTGACTTAACGAATGAGCCTTCCAAGGCAACTCTTGTAAAATTCATGCCGTTTTTTGGGTGAGTATATAAACAACTCATCAGATTTTTATTTCTTTGAAAATCAAGTTTACTTCCTTATAAGCCAATTTTGTTAATACCGTACATGCTCGTATGAAGGTTGATCGACTTAAACATCATACACACAACATATGTTTATGTCGATTGACCTTGGATACCATGGACTACATGCATGTGCACTTCAAACTATGAAATAGCCTATTACTGTAAAACTTTCATTAAATAAATGACTTCAACAAAAAGTCTGATTGTGTATGCTTTTTTTTAACGTCTGCCGCTACCTTAAAATCTCTAAAAATATATATGTACATTTTTCAAAAATAGCACAACAGATCGTATCTTCATCATAGCCAAAGCCTATATTTAATTCCGTATATTTGACCTGAACGGCCCCAATAAGACATGTTTCGGCAGTGCTACTACCATCGTCAGTTATCGTATTGCACGCAGGCAATCATTAGTATAGGGGAATAAAAAATTGCAATGTTTAGAAGTTGTGGAATGATCCGTAACAATATTACAAAACACAATATAAATAAAGATGAAGTAAAATCAGAATATCTATGACACTAGGGAGAGAATGGAACAAATTTAAAATGACAAAGATAAATTAACATGAAAAAGCTGTTTGTTCAGTGAAGGCTGCTCCCACTGAATATGCAAGGCTTATTTAATTTTGAGAATTTGCGTTTTTTGTGGAGGCGGAGTCCAATATGGTAAAGCAGTCCTCATTGGCTAGTTGTTTGCAATGGCGTGAACTCTTCAAATGCTTTAATATACTCGAGTTCCCAACCATTATTACATGCTCACACACGCGCGTGCAGAAATGCCATCTTGTCTCACCAATGTAACAAGCATTACAGCCTGCACGTACAAATTTGTATACAACACGCGAACAGAGACCTACAGGGATGGGATCAGCTAAAAAAAATTTATATTTTAAATGAGAAAAAACAATTTTTAAGTTTAAATCATTACAAAAGTCATTCAATAAGGCACAGATTTTCTTGCTAACGACTTTGGAAAATGTGCCAACATATGGTAATTTGTAGTAAAGAGTGATCGGTATATTTTCTTCAGTGTTTCCAGTGATTTTTGTATATATATTTCTTTCTAATTATACAAATTTAAAGCATTTAACCGTCCCATTACTACACTGTTTACATTCACCAATAGAATTTTATTTTATTTTCTCCTCTGTTTGGATGTTTTTGGCAAAACTATTTGCTAAGTAAGAAAACAAAATTTTATTTTTTTTCCGTCTTTTTTTCTGATGATCATTAACAAAATACGTTTGCGAAACAAGGTATGAAAAAATTCTCGCCATGCAAAGTAAAAAATTTAAATATGTTTATTATTATTTTGTTTTGTTCCCAATTCACACCAGAAAATTTGTTACAATGGAGTTTTTCTTTTGTTTTTTACATTTAGGGATGTTCCTGTCAGCAAATCTAAGAAGCAAGAACGACCAAGATCTTCTTTGTTATCTGGGAGGACCAATGCTGGTACAACAGAAAATACATATGAAGGTTTCTAATTGGCAATCCATCAGCAAATGTATCGATGTTTATGGTTGGCCTGTATTGGTAGCACTGATACAAAGAATTTCATTGGTCTGTATCCACTGGTAATGCAGACCGATGTGTGCAAAACAAGAATTCTGATTGGCTGATGTAATAAGGTTAATCAAGTTCCAATCATAACTGCATACATCATTTCTGATTGGTCACTGTTTCATGTAAAGCGCTGTCCAGACTATTAAATTTTATTTGACAAAAACATGTGACATGCCTCAATATGGTCATGATGACATCACATCATGACCATATATAGGCACATCATGACTATATATGGGCACATCATGACTATATATGGGCATACAACAATTTTATGTCAAAGAAAATTTGATAGTGTTTACCAAGCTTTATATTTGCTGCTTTTTATTATGAATGTAGGATTATTTTAATTTAAGTGCTTTCCAGGCCATCAAATTTTATTTTAACAAAAACATATGACATGCCTAAATATGGTCATGATGACATCACACATGATCATATATAGGCGCATCATTACTATATATGGCATACAAAGATTTTTAGACAGAACTTTACAATACCTCAGTTAAAGAAGACTTCCCTCATTGCATCATACCATCATAATTGGTAAAATGCAGTATTTCAGAATTTCTATATTTTTTTATTGCAATATGTAGAACAATTAGTGTATTTTAACTTTTAATTCTAACATACGAATCTGTGTATAAATTAGGCAGCGATATTATTGGACTACTGTATTATAATGTAATGGAATTTAATGTAGATAATGTATTTGGAGGGAAATAAACAGTAACACAGAATTATTTTTATAAACAAAATAATTATGTGTTAATGAATTTCAATCTTGTAACGATAAATTTAAAGACCTTTTCCCAATTGTGTTTACTCTATCAATTTTTCTTTTTCAATATTAATTATAATATTAGCAATTTGTGTAGTGCCGGTATTCGTCATACCTCATGAGTTAATGTAATTTCTGCCGTCAAAAACTTAATATTGTTTATTATTCTGCTATCCAGTGGTGGCGCCAGGATTTGCCCGACCTGGGGTTGGGGGGAGGGTGGGTCAGAGGTCCAAGACAGTGGAGTGGGTGGGGGCGATTTCCTTGACAAAAAAAAAGGTGGGCGTGGTCGGGCATCGCTCAAAAATCTGTGAAATTTGATTTTTTCAAGAGTGGACATGGATGGAAATGTTTTTTATTTTACAAATCTCTCAAAAAACTTGCTTGTTTTGTGAAGAAAATTTCTGTCCCCAAAACATAATTGTTGCAAATTTTAGAGTTGGTGAGGGAGATCAACATAATATTTTATTTTTTTGTCCTAATATGAATTGTCATGAATAAATACATAATATTGAACTTACTTTTATGCATTATTTCTAAACAGGCAACTGGTTAATATGCTTTAAGCATGAATGTTTCAAAGGTCATATAAACAAACAAATCATACAGTATACAGTACATATCATATAATTTTTTTATACTGAAGATTATTTTCAGTATTCAGTATACCCAATGAAATTCGACATATGTGTACTCAACGTGAACAAAGTACACATGTTGTAACATTGCTTGTTATGATATGATTGTTATTTTTTCTTAAAGATTTAAGAAATACATAATGATGATGATGACGATGACATGATTATACACATCAAAATAAGTGTTAGTAGAGACCAACTTAAGCTGCTAAAGACCTCTAACTACGGTCCCAAAAGTGGTCTTTATTAGAGGGAGACTGTAGCCTACAATTGTTGTTTTATTGCTTTTTAACTATGGGATGGGAAGTGCTGTTAGGCTCTTTGTTGCCCATTGTACCATTTTTTGCCAACTCAAAAACAATGAATACCATATCGCCGAAACCCAGTTTTGCCGAACCCTGTTGGCCCAACCCAGTTTGCCAAAAGTCAATTAAAAGCAGTGAAACATTAACATCAACATAAAATTCACAATGGAATACTCTCTTACTCTTACCATGGACTGTTTCTCATCATCCATTGTTGTACGACATCTTTACTCGTGTGATAGAGGTACAGTATGCTGCTGCTTGTCCCCTTTATCTACTCTTGTGATTAGGGTATTCTCGCAATGCCGTACCTATCTGCATTCATTTAATCAGTGTTCGGTGTATGCTCGCCGAGCCACCACTTCCTGAATGCATGTATGGTGATGCTCGCAATGAGGCTACTAACTGTATTCATGTGATCGGTGTATGCTCGCAGTGACACCACTATCTCTGCATTTAGGTGGTCAGTGCACGATGCCGCCATTGCCTGCATTCAAGTGATAGAACCACTATCTGCATTCGTGTATCAATGTGTGTTAGAGGTGCCTTTATGTCTTCAGTGTATGTTTATGCTACATCTCCCTGGTTTTAATATCTAATGAACAACATTTTATAGCCATGTTTGTTTTAAAATATTTTAGGATTTCAGCTCAGGAAATTTTTGTGGTTTCTGTGTTTCAGTGCCACATATTTAGTGTATTATTTTTGATAGGCCAATTCTTTTTAAAGATAATCTTATTATTTCGAAGGATTACAAATTAATGATATTTATATTGGTAATGGTTTCACTTCCTATTTTAAATGATGCTATTATGATGTATTTTTGTTATTATTTTTATTATTATTTGTTTTCAATTTTCTTCATTTACCTTCCATATTATTTTATTTTTCTGCTTGTTAATTTCGGTTTAAACAGGAGAGTAAGAGTGAAAGATTCACTGGTTCGTCAAATAGACTTCGTTGACAACGAAAATTAACATAACCAGAATGCGTTAATCAGCGTTAAGTTATGCACGTGACCAAAAAAAATTCGCTTAACAAAAAACGCATACTGCCACAATCCGAAGCAGCCTTGATTACGCAGCGTGTATCGCGGTAACTATGCAGCCATCTTGTTTTGTCGAGTATTCACCAGTTTTCTATTCGACTGGTCGTCTTCGTTAAGCAGGACTTTACCACTGCGCAGGCGGGTGTGGTTTAACGAAGAACGACCAGTCGAATACGGCCATATTTTTTTTTTGTCACGTGGACAAAACTCACTCTGGTTTACGTTAATTTTCGTTGTAAACGAAGTTTATTTTACGAACCAGTCGAATGAAAATAATTCTCAACGAAAATTCGTACTCAACGAAATAAACCAATCGAATACGCCCAGTGTGTTTCAAACATAGGTTCACTCTGTTCCTCCGTCCGCGGTGTATTCATCCAACACTTATCTGTGTTTTACCAATGTTTAGTAAGTAGGAGATAAATCAAAACATTTAAATCTTCCTGAAAAATGGTGCTTCATCACATAATATGATGCTGAAATGTTTGTTTTAAAAGAGAAATGTATACAAGGAATTTCATTGGTCTGTTGTGTCTACCAATAACAATATTAGAATAAAGCATATAAGAAGGATGTTCCAATCACGAAATCTGCATACAAGGTTTCTGATTGGTCACTGTTGGTAAATCGTAGATTGTAAATGTTTTTGAAATTTTGCTTTGTCGCATGATATGATACTGAAATGTGTGGTTGGGTGAATTATTGTGATTATTAGTAAGAAATGCACAAGTATATATATTTTCGTTATATTGTTTATGTATAGTGTTATTGTATTGTTTCTAATGTATTATCTTTCCTGAGTGTCATATTAACAACTGTCCAATCAGAACGGGGCCAAGAATATGTGCGTTTCTAACAAGCATACGTGTTGTTCGTGTTTGCGTACTGTCGTTTTGTGGGACCTTAGCAACATTGGCCGTATTCGACTGGTCGTTCTTCGTTAAACCACGTCATGGTAAAATCATACTTAACGGAGACGACCAGTGAAGTAGAACACTTTTAAATACTCAACAAAACAAGATAGCTGCATAGTTAACGCGATACACGTTGCGTAATCAAGGTTGATTCGGCTTGTGGCAGTATGGTTTTTCGTAAAAAAAGTGTTTTCACCCAGTTGTTTAATTCTGTTAGCCTAAATAATTTTTGACTTTATGTGGGTAAATTTTATAATTTTTACTTTCTGATATTTAATCTAAATTATATTAACGCAAATGTTTTTGCTAAACTGACCAATCGGCCATGTTTGTTTTGGTCACGTGGATAACTTACTCTGTACTCTGCACTTTACGTTAATTTTCGTTGTCAACAATAAGCCCAAGGTCCAAGAGGTGGGGCTTAGTGGAAAGCTCATTAGCTAAGTTTACATTCAACTATTATTGGATTCCTGATAATAATCACGATGACATGCATTGTCTTGGACCTAATTCAAATTTTTCGTGCTACAAAGTTTGTCAGAAAATAAGTTCAAGAAAACATATTTTATTTTTGAGCAGACGAATTTATAATATTTGTTATATTTCTATATATTTTATGTTCCAGGAGTCAAGAATTTAACAATTTGATTATTTTATTTTGAATTTAATAATCAGTCGTAGCGCTATATTAAAGAGTAGGCCGATGTCGATAACGCCTGTAACAGCCTATTTCGCTCATGATACTTGCGTATTCCACGAGTACGGTAGTGTGTCTTGCAAATAGGCCTCTACTACGAACAATGAAGACGTGCTTTTCATAGGTTATTATACTTTTTATTTTAGGAGTTTGATAAAATAACATGATATATTTTTATTCGCTAAACCTCTTGTTACCAAATGGACAAAACAAACTGTGTCTGAGTTAGCAGATATTTAGTGTTTATTTATTGTTTGTGTATGACAGACTAAAAACTAATAAAGGCCATATTTTAACCAAAATTAAGTGTCGAGTTATTTTATAAATCAAATGTTGTTATTCTGCATCCGCCACTGCAAGATACAAGTCTCACAATAATACAATACCGTATCTGTTTGTATCAGGGAACAGTGATTTAACTGTTCCCTTGTTTGTATTGTATAGTATTGCATTGTACATAGTGTGTTACTGAGCAGTATTCTTTAACTTAAGCGTATAACAGCATTCACCACCCCACTCCCCACTCGTAATTATAAATACGTGCATAATACGGTAGAATTAGATGAAATGGTGAAATTTCGTAAAATGTCACAACAGTTATGTTGGTGGTAATACGTAATGTTCTCATTGGCATCGGAGAGCCATTTAGCTCCATTTTTTGGCAATCCTCTCTGCCCAATGGAGTTATTTTTTCCTCTGTCATTATGTTTTTGTCAGATTTATTGTTCTTTGGATGAAATAAATGAAATACTGTACTGACAAAAATAATACAATTTATTTATTGATTACAATTCAACACGTTGATATGTTAAACATTAACCAGAGCTTGTCCAGATAATTGACATTGAAAAGATTTGTTCTGCACAGAATCAGTAAAGGAATGATGAAGATAAACCAGGAACATTGTACTTTTCTAATATAAAATATTGCAATTTATTTGAGGTATATTTATTTTTTAAAATTCAACATCAAAAACATACATAGCAGCGACTAAGGCTGAATTGTGTATGAATTAACAAGAAAAAAATCCATATAAATTACAATTGTTATAATCGTTATAAAATTTGAAAAATTCAATAGCAAAACCAATATCAAAATACGAGATAACCGCGGTAGGAGCATTTGAAAAACGACAGGACAATAAAGGGAGGGGGAAACAAACCAATCAACGGGGAGTGGGGGGAATTAGAATTAACTTTTGTTTATTATGTCAGCCAAAAATGGGATCTGACTAGTTTGGAATCGTTTGGTTTTGCTTCTGTAATATTTAATCTTAGGTGGTTCTCTAAGGGTCATACAGGAACTGTACTGAGGGGCAGGGAACCAGGCAGAGAATCTACCCGAAGCGTGTGCTTTTAAGGCAAACACCTTGCACAACTGCCATCTTCTAGTATGAAGAGGTTCGCAGATCCAGTGTTACAAGGGAATGTGAGTAAGATCTATACCCACTGCCTAAAATGATCTTGCAGACACGCTTCTGGATGTTTTCGACCTGGTTCACCTGTCCCTGAGTAAGACCTGCATGCCACAAAGGGGCAGCATACTCCAACACAGTTTTACATATCCCTTATAGATAGATAGAAGTTCCAATTTGTTAAGCCTCACCCTTCTAAGCTTACGAAGCATGAACATTTTTTCATTAGCTTTACTGCAAATATTATCAATCTGGCTTTGCCATTTTAAATCATTATGGATTATTACACCCAGTAATTCAACTTTCTGTACTACAGGTAGACAGTGATTAGAGATGTGTAAATCACCAATTGGAGTATTTTGCTTACTGAATTGATGAACATAGTTAAACGTTTGGTGGGGTTTAGTTTTAATTTATTCCTAATGGACCACTCAAGAAGCGAGTCTAAATGTTCTTGCATTGCCGAGAAATCTCCAATGGTCTTATTTTCCCCAATTGTGAGAT